CCCGGTCCCCAGATCTCGCGATTGGCTTCGGCGACGACTTTGCGGATGCGGGTGGTGAACATATTGGGTATGGGTTTGCGGGGGAGGGGGGTGGCGGCGCCGGCGGAGAAGGCACTGGGCCAGGCATCGTTGTCGCCTGGGACGAGGACAAGGGTTGTGTGGGCGATGAGAGGTTGGAAGTCTGCGAGGACGGAGGCGAGGGCGTCGAAGTGCTCTTTGTATTCTATGCTGCCGGTACCGGGGACGCCGGCTAGACTGGCTTTGGAGCTGAAGTTTCCTATCAGGATGATGGCGAGGGGGTAGACAGGGTGAGCGTCGGTGGGATCGGGTGTACATGTGCGTAGAAGGGTGCGGAGGGCTGATAATGTTGAGGGTACGTCCAGGTGGAGATCTGATGCTATGACGATGTTGTGTGCTCGTTCGGGTTCGAGCAGCTTAGATGCAATCTTGTTCATGCGCGCACCAGTTCCACGCTGTGAACCGACGCCCAAGAAATCAGTCCAGCCGAATGCTGGGCCAGCCAGACTGCTCTTGTCAACTTCCTCAGCGCCGCCCAGCGTTGCTGTTCGACGTTCACAGGGGGGATGTCCGACCGAAAAGCAGAGGAACTTTCCACCTATTGTGCCGCCGATACCACCACTGCCTCCTAGTGATGAGCCTGCTCCTGAGTCTTCTTCATAGCTGCCTTCAACCAGTACAATCATGCCTGGCGCAAAGTACGCGCCCTTCTCAGGTATCGGTCGCGCATGCTCAATGTCAAGCGCAATTGTTCCCGTAAGGTCAGAGAGTGAGAGCGCTCCGGTTGCTGAGACAGTGAGCATACCTAGCAACAGGTGCGTGCTTCCAGTCCGCCCAAGCAAGTTGGCAATGGGTGTGATTGTGTTCATTTGCGAGGTTGCAATTGATCCTGTCCGACTCAGAGTAGCCGACCTAGCTGTGCTGAAAGTGGGTGCTTGAAACGTCTCATTGCGTAGTATGCGCTGATGTACAATGTGATACCGCTGGCGGAAGAGTTCAGTCTTATGTGAGGGATTTGGGAAGAGCGATGGTTTTGCGGTGGATCTAGTATCGTTAGTAGAAGCCATAAAACCCCCAACATGTACTCACTTTTCAAAGTGTTTTTGATTAACGTTGTAGATCAGTTTAGGTTGCTCGAAAGCGCCAATGACCTTCATCCACTCTCGGGAGTCTTTTAGCAAGTCCTCCTCATCCTCCTTGTCTTCCACCTCTAGGTTCGATATGCCGAAACTTGAAGTAGTGTCCAAAGATCCATGTGACGTCTGACCGGATATATCTGGGCCGAAGTTGAAGCTGCTTTGGCGTCCTACTGTCGAACCCTGAACTATTCTGCCACCGCTCATGGATCCTTCTAGTGTCTTGAGTATGCTCTTGAACGTCTCATGGTCTCCTTCCACAATGACTTGTCCACCGCACTTCTTCCAGCTCTTTGCAACTTCCTCGAGGACCTTCTCTGCTAAACCTTCCTCTCGCCATCCTGAACCGCAGTGCTTTCCAATAAATGTGGCTAGGGCCTGGAGGGCGGAAGATGTGAGGGTAAGATTATGTTTCTTTGTGAAAGTCCTGAATGCCAGCGGCCGCAGAGTTGCTGGAGGCAATAATATCGGAAGAACAGTCGACTTTGCAACGGGCTTGAGAGCGGGCGGGGCGCGTATTGGGGCTGTCCTGCGGGGATTGATTGGGTGTACTGGTGTTCCAAATGCGGGCGACGAGGAGGGTATGGCGTCCGCTGCCACTGCTGAAGGCTTTTCTGGGCGTCTTGCTGTGGCCATGTCTGTTGTATTGGCTGCAAAGGTAAATGCGTGTTGTACAGGCACTGACTGGCGTCGTCGGTCTGGAATTCCACTTTACGCGCGACGCGGTCGCGCTTTCGCGCTAAAAGCAGCCCGCTTTTCCTAGCAACAACCAACATTCCTACCAAAACACAACACCCAACACCTTCACCTTCAATATTGAAGCTGCGCAGTATTGATTCTGCAGTCGACTCCCAAAAATAATACTGCAGACTCACCGCAACTCACAAAACATGGCTGAATCTGCCACCGAACCTCTTGCGACCGTCGCTGAGACTGACGACATTCCCAAGACCAAAGAAAAGCTATCAGAGCTGTCGCAAGTCGCCTCTATTCACTACTCCACCAAGAATTTCCCCGCCGCTGCAGAGAACTATGCCAATGCTGTCGAGATTCAAGCCGAGCTCAATGGCGAGATGGCGCCTGAGAACGCCGAACTGCTCTTCTATTACGGGCGCGCACTATACAAGGTTGCAGTCGCAAAGAGCGACGTGCTAGGCAACAAAGTCGCACAAGAGGAGAAAAAGAACAAGCAGCCAAAAACGAAGAAGGCTGCAAAGACAGAGACAGCTGAAGCCTCAAGTGCTGCAAAGAGCGAACCCAAGACAGAACTGGTAGAGAATAAACCATATTTCCAGCTCCAGGGTGACGAAAACTGGACTGATTCCGAGGATGAGGACGACGAGGCACAGGACGGCGAACAAGAAGAGGACGACGACGACTTTGGCAACGCATACGAGATCTTCGAGCTAGCTCGCGTCCTGTACGAAAAACAACTACAGGCACTCAAGGAAGGTGAATTTGAAGACAAGGGCAAAGGGAAGGCGGAGTCGAGTCCTCGTGAGCGCATCATCAAGGAGCGGATTGCCGACTGTCACGGTTTCCTTGTCGAGATCTCATTGGAAAACGAGCGCTTCCACGATGCTGTAGCAGATGCCCGCAAATCGCTTGCACTGCAAGAAGAACTGTATCCCTTTGAACACGAAAATGTCACAGAAGCACATTACTCGCTTTCACTTGCGCTCGAGTTCGCATCCGTATCCAAGGTCCGCGAAGACCAGACTGGACAATCAACAGATGCACCCCCAGAGACAGAGCAAGGGAAGGAAGACGAAGACGGCGTCAATTGGGAGTTACGGAAGGAAGCCGCTGAGCAGACCGACCTCGCCATCCAGAGTCTGGAGGCGAGACTTAAAAAGGAAGAAGCAGCGCTCGACTCGGACGCACTGAAGCCAGAGCAAAAGAAGGAGAAGCAGGCAATCATCAACGACAAAAAGGGCATGTTGGAGGACCTCAAGACACGCCTTGTGGAGCTCAAGGCGGACCCCACTAAACAGCAATTCGACAGCATTGACTCGTCAGTTTTTCAGGGCTTGTTAGGTGGAATGATGGGAGCCGATGCAGCAACCCAAAAAGCAAAGCTCGCCGAAGCAGCCAAGAACGCGAACGACGTCTCGGGCATGGTTAAGAGAAAGGCAAAGCCAGCTGCACCAGCGGCAACGTCCGGATCAAAAGATGCAGGTAGCAGTAAGAGGAAGCTCGAGGTTAACGATAGTGGCGCGGACGAAAAGAGGGCAAAGACTGAAGAGCCATGAGCAAGACCTACTTTCCACAGGGTATTTTGTTGTTAACTGCCAATAAGGCGTATTGGATTGTACGGAAATGTTTAGCGTCACGAAGAGAAACGTCATCTTCTGGGTCACTATCTACTAGTACAAACCCAGGGCAACACGTCAACCCATGCAGAATAAGAATCAAATGCACGTCAATAAGTCCCGTTACCCCCCAGCTCGGCATTAATGCATGTATATGTACATCGTAGTCTTGCTTGGCATAAACTATCGACGGTTGAAGCTCAAACAAAGCCACTACTAAGGACCCGCTACTCAACTTCCAACCGACCTACTTACAACTTGCTCCCTGAGCTTGTACCCTTGCCCTTGAATCCTGTCAGGACCGCACCACCGTCAATCTCGATAGCATTGCCTGTCATATGGGCGCTTCCAGCGCTGCTCAAGAACAGCACCAAACCAGCGAAATCACTAGGCTTGCCCACCCTACCCGTTGGCTGTGTGGCCGTTAGGGAATCCGCATATTTTTCCAACCCAAAGCTCGTCATCCGCGAGGGAAAAACACCGGGACAAATTGCATTGCACATGATATTCTTTGGCGCAAGTTTCGAAGCCTGCATCTTAGTAAGGTGGATGCACGCCGCCTTTGCTGGACCATCTAGATCACACACCATTTGTCAGCAATTTTCCATAGTAAACGGAAAAAAAAAGGGGGGGGGGGACTGGTATAATCCACAATTTGTGCAAACGTGAATCGGACAGTACGAAAGAGTAGAAAAAAAATACTTACAAGAAAAAGTGCCAGTGCCCGGTTTACTCAGCCCGCCAGTCTCGCCCGTTGTGACATCCATGGTGCCTATCCCTGCCATGCTTGAAATATTAATTACTCTGCCGGGCGTATCCGCGTTGGCACCTTTGAGCAGCAAGGGCTCGAGCCCCACCGTCATATAAAAGATACTCTTGACATTAAGCGCGTACAGCTTGTCCCATGCGTGCTCGGGGTAATTGTAATAGTCGTCGCCCCAGCTGGCGCCCGAGTTGTTGACGAGCACCGTGAGGCGGTCTGTCCGCTTCTTCATTTCCTCGCAGAGGGCCAGACATCCGGCCTTGTCTTTGAGGTCGGCGACTATGTATTCGCATTTGCCTGGACCGAGGGCGTTGAGGCGCGCCGTCGTGGACGCGAGTTCCTGTTCTTTGCGAGAGGCGATGAAGACGCGCGCGCCGTTTTGCACAAAGGCCTGCGCGGCCATTTCGCCGAGGCCTGTGGCTCCGCCTGTCACAAGTACAACATGTGAGCGGAAGTCGAAGAGAGTGCTGACTCGAAGGTCGTCTTTAGAGGCGGCGTGGGCCATATTTTATTGGGTACGAGTTTGCGATGCAGCTTGGGGGTTGTACACTACAGGATGGGCTGGTCAGTCTTCGCATGGAGGTGAAAGATAAACCCAGCAGCAAGACCACAGGAATGTTGTCGCTGTCCAAGAGCCTAGGTTGAGATAGGAAGGCGACGTGACCGAGTTCGCCATGATTCTCGGTACTATTGGCATAGCAATTGCAGATTGCTGGGGTTGAGCCGAGGTTCTCGTACAGGTTCTGGTGTGGGGTTTAAGCGCCGAATCCTTCGAGCTTGGCCGCAACTTCATGTCTCGGCCTTGAACACGTAAGCGAGCCTGTGAAGATTGGTCCAGATGTTGAAAGAGTTGTCATCATGCACAACTCGAGTATGAACACTGGATGAAGTATGCAAATAGGACAGCGTCGTCTCGAGGTGCCCATGGAACTACTATCTGTCTGATTCTAGTGGGCCATATGCGCCAGTGGCATGGACTTTTCCCTTTTGGAGGATTTCAAACACAATGCCAGTAGACGGCGATTCTTTTATGCACACTTCAAAGATAGCGGGGACTACCATTGGTTTCTTGAAGTCTACTTGCATCTGCAAGGGGATACTGTTCGGCAATGCCGTGTTTCCAGCGTCAGGCAAGCTCTGTAATGCTTTTGCAGCTGCATGGTTTCCGTGTGCAAGCTTTCCGGGCAAACCGAACAGCTTTGCAGCGAGTCCAGACAAATGTATGAAGTTGTAGTCCTTGCACAACGCCGCCCATTTCAATGGATCGTCTTTGGATAATGAGATTTGTGTACTAGTGAGTGTAGACCCTGGTGCTGACGCATCATGTTTGTTTCGATCCGAGCCTTTGGAAACGAGGCTGCCCGACGTCTTTTTGAATTCCAGCATAGTGAAAACCTGGCGGAAAATGGCGTGATACGTCCCATTGTTCCTATCGCTGGGGGCACTGATCGTTATTTCGAGAGCCCACTCGACTCCACGCTTTACTCTTGTTGGTTCTGCGTGCATTACTGCATCAAGGTACATCGAATCCATATTCGTAAGCTTCTCTAGGTCGCATAGGTCGGGACAAATTAGCTCGAATGTGTTGCGGACGTTGACCGCACCGAGGGGATTGACAGGACACCATGGGCTGGCGAGCAGCAAAAGCATGCCAGGCTCAGTCATGGCCGAAAGAAATAGGACTAGCTGGCCATGTTTCAAGTGTGAAAGTTTAGCCTCTCTATGCCCAACTGCCGAATGAAAACGAACAACGTCTTGGGCACTTATGACGAGAGGCGAGCGGAGGTGCAAGCCCACAGGCGTTGGGCCTGGCATTTTGGTAACCGAATAAAACACGGATTTGAGCATCATTGCAAGAATTGCTACGACCACTTCCCGGATGCGCAGCGAGTTTGGAGAAAATGCCAAGATGCTTCTTTTGGATAGTAGAGGCAGCAGACGGTAGCCGAGGAAGCCAAGCATTCCGAAGGGCGTGACGAGGGCGGACAAGAATAGCACAACGGCCATGGTTGGCTACGGCGACGGGCCGGGTAACGTGGGGTGCAAAGTAGTCAGTGCAAGTGGACCGCTCTGCTGTGGTTGGAGTTTTTCACGACAAGGCAACGAAGCGAACGCGTGACGTCAGCCTTAGCGTCGAGATCTGGCGGGAGGCTTCTCCGTCGAACGACGGGAGGCGGCTAAATTGTGGAGCGGGCATGCCGATTGAGATGTGGTAGACTCGGCATCACGATCACCCCACTAATGATCGCTTTCGCGTTCGCCTCTGATCGCCCTGTCTCCGCCAAGAACACAACCTCTGCCACGAGGTCTCATCTTTTCCTTCAGCTTTTGTCTAGGCTCACACCAGAAACATGCCATAAACCCGGTGATCCGGCGAATTCGACAACTTAAACCTATCCCAATAGGCGGGGCTGTTTCGAATTGAGCAGCCGGTAATCACCACACAAGCTACTGCTGGTCCGCCCTAGCTGGCAAATTGATCCGCCCAAACGGCCCGTTAGGGACATTTGGCGTTGGATAGACGTCCATCGACTAGTACACATGGGCCGCAATGGCCTACTGTACTTACAAGGGAGTAAGAGGACATTTTCAACTAAATTCAGCCGAGACCGAACGAGCTATACGGGGGCTACGCTATAGGACTTCAGGGGTGAAGCTGAACATTACCTTGATGGGTATTCGACATTGCCATTGTGGCTTGAATCGCCAAATCAAAACCTGTTTCGAACCTTGAGACTTGCAAATCCATGCTTGCAAAGCTTCCAGTACCATTCGAGCCAAACAACATGGTTGAACTCTGGTCGGTTGGCGCGCCGGTTACTTGTTGAATCTCTTCTCACTCACAGCAGGACTCCACTGCTTCGCAACAAGGTTCGCATATATGTGTCCGTACACAGTCTATACGATACCCAATACGATACCCAATATGCATCTTATTCCCATTTTGCGGCTGCCGACATCATTTCCGTAAGGTAAGCACTTACGGGTCCTCTCCTGCAGCCCTAACGCCGATCCATGTATGACGCTGCATTCACGAAAAATATACCCTGTGCCATAGGTTCGTCTTGGAAATTCTGGGAAAAAACTCCAGGCATTTGATCCGTCACACCCATGCGAGGGCAAATCTGTTTCTCCATGGGAAAGTTAGTCGCATCTTAGAGGCTGTGCAGTCATTGGGCCGAGGAGACTTTTGGAATGCGGTTAGTGTCCCCGACCCCTCATGGGTTAGAAGCACGCCCCTTAGGTTTGTGCATACGGAGCGGCCGTTGACCCCGTGATCAGCAAGTGGAAGACACGGCTAGCCACGAAACGCGTCCTAGCTTATAGTAGTCTCTTTCCGTTGACTTCCTGAGCTCAGTCATCCCGGCTTTATGTGGTATATTCTCCTCTAATTCGACTATTCCGGAACCCACACCTGGATCCATCCTTCTCGGCCATTCCTACCTCCTGCCCTGAGACACGCGTGGGAGTAGTCCTGCTCCAACCGTGAGCAATGCCCAAAAGATCGACTGGTTGTTTCGAATGCAGAAAAAGAAAAGTCCGCTGCGATGAATCCAAGCCCGAATGCAACACTTGCTTGAAGCGCGGGACAAAATGCCCGGGCTACCGGCCGACGCAGGCTTTCATCCTTCATGAATTCGACACCAAACGAGACAAGCCCGCACTGATCAAGGAGGATGAGAACCACTACAAGTTCGCCATTCAGAGCTACTCTCGCTCAAAACAACAGGGAAAATCGCAGAGTAACCCTGGAATCCGGGTTGAAAGCGTGCAGTATGAGCCTGATATTCCCAAGCAAGTAAGTCTGGTCGCTTCGGAACGCATTCAACATGTCAGCACCTTTGTCGCGTTGTATCTTCCAAGAACTGAAGGCCAGGCATTGCCAGGCCCATCTGCACTGATGCTTGGTTTACCCAATCTGCCCGTCAACAGTCCTGTTCTCGAGGCTGCCATTGATGCGCTGGCTGCAGCTCAGTTGGCAGTAGACAAAATGAATTCCCCTCTTATTCATCGCTCCAGGTCACTCTACAGCACAGCACTGAGTCAGATGCTGCAAGCTATTCAGGACCAAGAGACAGCTCTCAAAGATGAGACGCTTTTGTCTACATATCTGCTCTCGTTATATGAGGTAACAATTCAACATTCTCCCATAAAAAGTACATTGTTGACATTTCCTGCAGGTGTTTGTTGGCGTAACACGGGGCCATGGCTTCTTTTACCACACGCAAGGTCTATTGCATCTCGTGAAGCAGCGAGGACCGTCTTCCTTCGTAAGCAGATTAAGCATGCAAATCTACCACGGAATCCGATACAACTCGGTATGACGAATCCGACGTCACACATCTCGCTACACTTGCTAAGTCATCACAGTTAAGCATCGGCATCCTACTGCGGAAAGCCTCCATGCTTGATACCCCCGAATGGATGTCCGTAACCGCCAAAGCCGCCAAAGTCGATCCCTACGTGGCCCTTATGGACATCTGTGTCATGGTTCCGCGGCTTCTCGAACGCACCGACAAACTCTCGCGACCAGATTGCACCCAAGAAGAAATCGACAGCCTAATCGACGACTCGCAAAAGGTTGCCAGCGATGCCTTCGCCTGGATCGCTGACTTTGAGCGTCATGGACCCCGCTACAACAAGGTCGAGCTCGAGTCAATGGAAGGCTTCATGGATATCTGCGACGACCGCGTCTTCGACCCGGTCTTTGACTTTCACTACTTCGGCGCAGGAATCTGCTACTTAATCTACTGGTCCAGCATGCTCATCATGCAGGGCAACACGTTCAAGCTCCTCCGCCAATACCGCAAATTGGAACCCAAGCAGCTCCTCATGTGGAGTCGCCAACTCAACTCTTTTGCCGACTCTATATGCAGAGGCGTGCCGTATAACTACCGCGTCAACACGGGCTATGCGTCGAAGTTCGGGTCCTTGACTCCGCTCATGGTTGCGAGAAAGTATTACGAAATGGTGGGCGAGAAGGCTGCCGTGGCGTGGTGTACGAAGGTATATAAGCGGGGAAAGGTGCCCGAGTTGTATCAGGCAGATGAGAATCTGGACAAGTATCCTCTAGAGGATGTCAAGAAGACTATCAAAGATGATCCGAGATATATCTGAGAGCAAGGGATGGTGAGAGTAACGACAACATGGAGGTGAACTACAGGCGTGTTGGGTGCAAAAGATAGTTTGATCCTTGCTTTCCTGAGTGAAAGGTCAGCACATGCCTCGGTCGGTACAGCGTTTATCATTCTATCGGCATCTAAACGAACCGCTGTGTGATACACATCACCAGATTCCCGAGAGAATATCGAGAATCTATCAGCATCCGAGAAACAGAGCCAAGACACTCTTCCAGCAGCAAGAACCAGTCTCTGGCTCTTCCTCGTCTGCTCGAGACGCACAAGCAATCCGAAAGCGCACGCACGACGACTTCCCTGCGTACGGCAGCGATACCGATGATGACTCAAGTCCCACTTGGACTTTACAACACGAACCTGGCTAGGGAAATACAAGACTGAACGATACAAAGGAGGGCGGAAATCTGGGTTTTTAGAAGACCTTCAGGCGTATTTGAGGAGAAAAACAACGTACACATATACCCTTAAACTTCTTCTTGACCAACAAATGCAACTCTTGCTAACCAGAATCTTTTGGATTGTCAGAAAAAAAAATTCTATCCTTCTTTCTATCCTTTTAAACAAAACCACCCCCCACCCGCTTTTCCTAACCCTTCAACTCCGTAATCAACTTGCCCTTGTTCCCCCCATTAAACAACATCACCCAAGTCTTGGGCACGTCCTCAAACTTGGTCGGCACCACCGTCTCCGAATCTGGTCCCAACTGAATCTTCCCCTCCTTGGCCGCCTTGAGAAGTTCCCCAATCATAGCGCCCGTCTTCCCTTGCTCCATAGCATCCAGTACAATAAACCCCTTGATCTCAATCCGATTGCTAACAATCTCTGTCCAATTCTTGACACCGCTATCGCCCAGCGAATTATACGTGGACACAGCACCGCACGCGGCAACACGGCCAAACTTCTTCATGCGGGTCAGCATCAGCGACAAGATGTCGCCGCCGACATTATCAAAGTAGACGTCGACGTATCCCTCGGTTGCAGCGCGCAGATCCTGCTGGAAAGACGGGGACCGGTAGTCTACACAGACGTCTGCGCCTAGACTCTCGACCCACTTGCACTTTTGCGCCCCGCCCGCGATGCCGATGACGCGCTTGCAGCCGACAATGTGCTTTGCGATCTGGACGACCAGCGAGCCCGTCGCGCCCGCCGCCCCGGACACAACCACCGTGTCGGCGGCAGTGGCGCGCGCAATGTCGACCAGGCCGTAGTACGCCGTCAGGCCCGTGCCGCCGAGGGCTCCCATGAAGTGCGTCGCTCGCATTCCTGAGGCTGGGTCGGCCTGGATGGGGCGCACGGATTTGGCGGGCGCCACAATGTATTCGGACCAGTTGAGCATGAAGCCTTGGACGAGTTGGCCGGGTTGCAGCGAGGCGCTGTTGGACGTGACGACTTCGCAGATGGCGCCTGAGCGCATTACTTCGCCCTTTTGCACGGGGGGCATGTAGAGACGGTCCGCCTCGATCTGCGTGCTGATCCAGGCTCGTTGGGCGGGGTCGTTGGAGAAGTAGACGGCTTTCAGGAGGACTTCATCGGGTCCTGGGGCGGGGAGTGTGGTGGTTTGCAGTTTGAAGGTTGCATTTTCTCCTTCGATTACGGGCTCACCCTCGGGTGGGTTGGCGAGAACCCATTGACGAGTCTCTTGGCCTGACATGTTGAGAAGTTGTGTTCTACTCTTTGTTCGTTTCTATATAGTTGGTGTGTAGTAGCAGGAGATTGGTAGTGGGGATTGGTGGTATGTCGAGTGGTATGTAGGTAGATGAGTTTAGCAAATCCAATGCGTGGCAATGACCCGTCTTAAATAACAAACGACTACAACCTGTCAAGTGTTAACAGGGTTTCTGTGGTCATCCGAGACTTTCTACGTCTCTACACGTAACAACGTATACGGTCGACTAACTCTATCCAGTAATCGCCGAGGAGTATCGGCTTGCGGTAAATCTCGGCTTGTTCCAAGATATCCATTTTTCTTTGCCCACTTTGCTGGTTTGCACTTAGTGCTGTCAAGTAGGTAGGCCAACCATTGGTTCACTTTTCGTCCAGACCTTAATGTGGAGACATCCGGCTGCCGCGTTACATTGATAGGTTGCTCCATGCCACCTCAATTGCGGGACTATGGTTGACAGTGGCTCTTAGTCGACCGAAATACCGAGATAAGAACAGCTCCCCTTAAAACCAAGCTGTTATTTGTACTCAGCCGCTGCTACTATAAAGCATTAAGAAACTTGTTGTATACATCATAACACTAGAATGTATATATTAGTACACTACAGAAAAGGTTTAGTACTCTGTAATGCCAGTGGAAAGTTACACCTCGTTGATATGGCGCTCTTTTGGTGCATTTAGTTTTCACCCGAACATTTCGGTCAAACAAGAGGGGTAGAATGTTCAGATAGACGAGCTTGGCACTTGAAAAAATGGGTGAAAATGCTACACAATTGGTGACTGCTGCATCATCCGTACAACAGCATGTTGAATAAGGCTCGATTGCTGGCTACATGTTTTTAAAGAGTACCTGATGGCATAGGTAGACATCCTCGTCACTCACCATTTGCCGCCCTTGCCCTTCTTCTTATTCTTGCCTTTGTCAGCACCGCCCTTCTTCTCCTGAGCGGCTGGAGTGCCTTTGTCTTCTGCCACTACACCTCCCTGAGTGAGGCCATCCATCTTCTTCTTTCCTTTTCGTCCCTTGGGACGGTAGTAGCTCCTGTCACGCATCGGTAACCACCTCTCAGGGTCTACTTTCTTGCCTTCTACGTAGTCCTTTGGCATCCTTGCCTTTCGCAATCTCTTGGATTTCGACGGTGCCACATTGGTTGGTGCAAGGCTACGTTTCCGTGATTCTGCTGCAAGATTGACCGAGGTGACGTTGCCAAGGGGAACGCCAACCTTTTCGAGTTCAGCAGCGTCGATATCGGATACTAAGCGGTTCGCCTCTGGCAGATATGCGAGGAGATCTGCGGGTATTGAGGTAGGATCTGTGATGCTATATGCTGCAACAAGACCAGCAATGGCCGCTCGGTCTTCGTTGTCTTGGTCATACAAGCCCTTGAAAATCTCCCCTGCAGACTTGACGTTCTCTGGATTGTGCGTGTCAAGGAGTGCTGTGCCAGCAGCAACCATGAGAGACTTGGAAGGCGCCTCCGTCTTTGATTTATGAGGTTTCCGCCAATATTCTGCCGCCTTTGCCAACTCGTTCTTTGATGCTCCCGGGCGCCCTTGCTGTGCATACAACGAGATGAGCGCGGCGATCAGACCTGGCGCGAAGCGTACATCGAGATCGGACGCGGAGCCGCTTTGTTCAAGACGCTTGAAGAAAGATTCAAGAAGGGACGTAGCAGCAGCGTAGTTGTTTGTGATTACGTAAAGTTGTGTTATCGTAAGTATGAGGCCAACGTCATTTGGCCTTTTCTCGAGCAGCGGCAATATTGCTTTCAACGCAGCTTTCTCGGTGCTCGTATTCCTGGCGTGGGCTGCCGCATTGAGTACAGCTGCCATGTTGACAACCGGAGAAAGCGACGGAGCGGGGGTTCCAGAGATGACCTTTTGGGTAGATTCAGCGACGCCGGCCACCTTCTGTGACAAGAGTGAGATGACATATTCGTCCTCTCGGAGGATGTTCGACTGGTAGGAGAAGAGTTGATCGGTAACAGGAGGCTGAGGCGATGAATGGAATATACGATGTGAGAGGTAAGGGTTTGAATGTTCTTTTGAAGCAGCAATGCTGTTCACTTGAGCGATGTAGCGGGTCGAAAGTTCCTTGATGCTAATGCTGTTAGAAATTATGCAATACTGTTACTGGGGCATCATACTCAGCGAAGGGAATCTTTGTAGCCAATTCTTCCGCTTCATCAGTCTTGCCAAGCTGTATCAAGACATAGACTTGCTGCACAGTAATTGGGAGTAGCTCAGCCTGCTTCTCTTCCTCACTCATGTCCGAAAGCGCATTGCAGAGGTCCTTTGCGCGCTTCAAGCACACTTGCGCCTGTCCAAACTCATTGCGCGAGATGCTGCCGCATGCCGCATTGAAGGCTGTCTCGAAAACCTCTAGATCCTCTCGTGTGGGCTGCTTCTTCTGTGCCAGCTCGCCTTGTCCAGTCCACTCCAATTGGGCATCTACGGCTCCCGAGTTAATTCGAATATCGTATTCCTCACTTTCGACGTTCTGGTCTGCAAGCTCCTTGTAGATCCTCGTGGCTTGAGCGAAGTTCTCAGAACGGTACGCCTGGATGCCATTAGCCACGTATACACATCCCCGCATATCCCACACCTACCGCCTGAGCAAGCATATGCTTCATTCCACGGCCTGCTCCTGACCCTGCGGCCTGTGCCACTTCTACCGCCTTGGCCGCATTGCCTGTCTTGTAGAGCGCATATGCATATTCGAATTGCGCCTTCTTCTGGACTTCCGGTGCGGCTTCAAATACTTGTAAGGCGTCTTCGTATCGGTCGAGGTGCAAAAGTGCTACACTTTTGGTATGTAGCGCATCTTGATCGCTTTTGGACTTTTTGAGAGCCGCATTGGTGGCTTTGAGTACTTCGTCGTGGTCTTCAATGGTGGTTTGCGCAAGCAGCGTAGCGAGATCTCTTGTCGAGGCGGCCATTTTTTATTCGCAATTCACTCGACCATCCGTCGGGAAAAACCGCCGAGATGTTGGACAGGGTGAACGGCGCTGGCGGGGCGAGTGCGGAGGACTTGGTGAAGGCACGCGGGGGTCTGAAGGTGGGATGGGTCAAGCAGAAGCTCGCCTAGGGTCCCGGTCGCAAGGGACCGTAGGGCTGATGGCGAACCGACGCCGTCATACTTGCACATCGTCACTTTGCTTAACAAAGCATACGAGCAAACAGAAAGTCTCAACACAGTATGCAATTCCCGTGAATTTTCGAAGAAACCCTTTGCAACGGAGCTTTTCAAAGAAGCACACTGTTGGTTTTTGTACATATAATCTAAACTACACAAAACCATTCTACGCCTTGCAAATGCCTCGTCCAGCATAGCATTGTATTTCTCCAAACAAAACCCATCCTGTACATGAAATTATGAATAGATGATAGCCCAAGGCACCCGCCAGTGTATCCGCCCAAGAAGTGAAAACACATGTCATCTCCAAAAACGCCCACGCTATGCAGAACATCAATTCACGTCCTCAAACTCGTCCTCTTCGCTTTCATCTCCCCCGTTTGATGCCGCCGGAGTAATCACGGCGGGTGTTGCGGCAGCCGAGGGCGTCGGAGCAGCTGATGATTCCAACTTTACGCGCTTCGCATCCGGAAGAGCACTTGGCGTACCGACATCAACATCTTCGAATTCATCCTCGTCCTCATCTTCATCATCCTCGTCTTCCTCCTCCTCCTCCTCCTTTCTGCGTCGCTCAGCTTCAATCTGAGCAAATACAGCATCCAGGTTTTGATTGCTAGCAATGGCGTCACCTCCTTCAGTCTTGATGGTGGGCGTGTCCACCCCGTTGTCCTCTTGCTTGACAGCTGTAGTATTTCCAGCAGCATCTTTGATGACAGTCGACTGGGTATGCCATGAAGGCAATTGGTTTTGCATGGAGATCTTTTCTTGCCGAGCCTTCTCTGCCATTCGCTGCTTCTCGTTCTGCTCGGCACTCGATCCAATTTGAACGTTAATCTTCTCTGGTCCCGTGTCAATGCCCTTCACTGCCGTCGGTCGCAATACAGTCGTCTCTATAACTTCGACCTGGGTGCCTGGGTCGACGTTCCTGTCGCGAGGCAGCTCGATCCTCTCACTGATTATGTCTGCCGGCTCCATTGCTGGAAGACTGCCCATGCTCTCGATTTCCTTCATGGTCTCAATAAGTGGGCCGAACAACTTGTTGAATTTTGCCGGGGTGTCGTCAATATCATCTGCTTGAGCGTCTGGATCGATCTCATCTAGTCGGAATCCGCATCTCGCGCAGACAAAACCACTGTCGTCCGGTCCCGGGTTGTCATCGGGGTGATCGAGTGCCTGCATGGTTGTGTATGTCGATTTGCATCGCAGGCATTTGAACTCAGGCTTCTCGGTCGTGGGCTTCGCATCCCTCTTGATTCCTTCGTCAATCTTGTAGATCTTGTATTTGATCGAATCAACGGCATGGCGCCAGTCGATGTAGAAGAACTCTCTGCTCGATGCTTTGTTCGCGCCTTGGCGCATGACATGTTGAGTATACCTGAGCGTATCAGCATGGATCGTCATCAGTAGCATCGAAATACTCACGAAGAACACAAACCCGCCTCCCTGAGCTTACCAGCCACCTTGCTCACGTGCTTCGAGTTTTTGCCTGCGTCCAGAATAATGGTCATGTCGGCCACAGGCAGCGCGCCGTGGTAACATAAGGCATCCATGATCACAATGTGTTCTGTTTCGTAGAACATGCGGACTACGGTCCGTAGCAACTGCTTCACGACTTGTACGGGATCCTTTGCGCGCTTTTCTACAGGGTCCTTCATAGCGGCACCCATGGCGACGACTGTGGAGAGGCTCCTGAGAGGGTTCTCAGGAGGATAGGAGAAAAGCGGTAGGCTTGAAGGCTTTGTTCGAAAGCACCGGACCAACGCGCCGACGATGCGGTTCAGAGGGTATAGCCTTTTACGTGTCGGGGCAGCCGGCTCCCTTTCTACTCTTTGCAACGACCGTCCGCACGCGAGTTGACGTGACAGCGCGAGGGTGGATGAGAAGACGAGCTGAAGTTGTAATGTCCTAGGCAGAAAGCTAGAGTAAGCGGTGGTGCGGGCGGTGAGCCGTACTTGCCGCGCCAAGCCTGGAGCTTCAAGAAAATGGTAAACTGCGACCCCACAATTCTCGCTCACTTGTAGCAGCAGACTCCTTCACCAAGTACCTTACTCCATGACCAGTTGCCTCCTATCCTGGGGCAAGCTTTCCAGGAGTGTTCTGCGACCATGTCTGACAACGAAGGCCCCCGCCGCGACCACGCCTCGTCGAATGGCGACCGAGGCGACAAGAAGCGCAAATGGGCAGATCGCGATCGCAGAAATGCCGCGCGAGGAGGTGGTGGACGCCAACAGCATGGAAGCCGTCCGAATAAGAAGAGAAATATGGGGCGTAAGGAGCATAAGTGAGCGACTTTCTTCAAAATCAATCGGCCTGTCTAATTAAGCAAGTTCTTCCCAATTAGATCGACGGGATCGCAATGCCGAACAGCAAGCCAAATATAAAGAGCAGGACGAGAATGGCGAAAATGAGCGACCTGCTCTACCCGCGGCTTTTCCTGCTGAAGAGGTCGAGGCCGAGGAGCGCAGGCCGAAGCGCAAAGTCGCAGTCATGATTGGTTATTCAGGCACTGGCTACAAGGGCATGCAGATCGACAACAAGCAGAAGACGATTGAAGGCGATCTGTTCAACGCTTTCGTTGCGGCCGGCGCAATCTCCAAGGCGAACGCATCTGACCCGAAGAAGTCGTCCCTTGTGCGTTGCGCTCGTACTGACAAGGGTGTGCACGCTGCCGGCAACGTTGTATCGCTGAAATTGATCATCGAGGATGATGACATCCTCGAAAAGATCAATAGCCATTTGCCCGACCAGATCAGGGTCTGGGGTATCCAGCGAACGATCGGCTCCTTCAGCTGCTACCAGGCGTGCGACTCGAGATGGTATGAATACCTTATTCCAACACACTCGTTCCTCCCACCACACCCTTCGAGTTACCTGGGCAAGAAGCTGGAAGAATATGCAGAGAAAGAGAACGACCTAGAGGGGTACCGTAAGAGGCAAGCCGAGGTCGCAGACTTTTGGCCTGAAGTCGAGGAGAAGCACATTAAACCTATCTTGGAGTCTCTGGATGATTCAATACGGCCACTCGTTCTGGAAGCACTTTACAACGTTGACGCTGTAGATGCAGAGCCAGGTGCAGACCCCGTAATCGACGCCTCAGTCCAAGATCAGCCCAAGGAAGAGAAATCTGCGAACACTGAAGCAGCTGAGGAGACCGCAATGCCAGATGCAGGCGAGACCAGCGCCAGTGAACAATCTGCAGATGAGGTTAAGCAAGCCATCGACACGATAGAGCAGAAGGAACCCAACGTCACTCTCGATAACTCCACCGACGGCACGCGCCCTCTGCCCGAAGGCGTCGTGAATCAGCCTGTCCTTGAAGAAGCCATCAAGACGCTCAAAAAGGCCTACATTGACATCAAGAAGGCCTACCGCATCTCTCCCGAGCGACAAGCGCGCGTCCAAGCCGCACTCGACAAATATCTCGGAACCCACAAATACCATAACTACACGGTCCACAAAAAGTTCAACGACAAATCCGCCCAGCGCTACATCAAAAGCTTCAAAGTCGCACCCAAACCCATCATCATCAACGATACTGAATGGCTAAGCCTCAAAGTCCACGGCCAAAGCTTCATGATGCACCAGATCCGCAAAATGGTCGGCATGGCCGCCCTAACAGTCCGCTGTGGTACCGATCCCGCCATCATGGACAAGAGCTTTGGCAACGAAGTCGTGCGTATTCCCAAAGCACCAGGATTGGGTTTACTCCTTGAGCGCCCCGTTTTCGACTCTTATAACGCCAAACTTGCCAAACAGCATGCTCGCGATCCCATTGATTTCAACAAGTACAATGATAAAATTGAGGAGTTTAAGGAGAGGGAGATTTATCAGAGGATTTTCCGCGAGGAGGCACAGGGAAATCAGTATGTTCATCTTTTTCTTTCCCGAAATAGATTTAGGGTACTAACAAGACTAGGTTCAATACCTTTTTCACTCATCTGGATAACTACAAGGATCCACAGTTCCTGTACCTGACGTCTGGAGGTATCGAGGCGACAAAGAGAAAGCGGGAGGATAAGTCTGTACAGCGCAACTTTGAAGAGGATTCTGAGGATGAGAATGCAAGTGGTGGAGAGGGCTAGGCCTTTTGAACAAGGACAGTGTAGCAGTGGGCACTTTCGAAACTTGGAATCTAGAATCGTGATACCCACGTAGACAGTACATGCATTTGTTTAGATGACTTATGAGAGAGAAAATAGGGGTGATTGCAGCATATCCCTAAACACCGTTTGCATTTCCAACATCACAAATTTTAGATGCAAGAATAAGATGCAATCAAAAAGGTTTCGTTCAAGACGAACAAGGTTACACGCCCCCTAGCTGTTACACGCATGTAGAAAGCCTCTAGATCCTAGAATTACAATTCCCCTCTTTCCCTACATCATAAGCCTCCATGGCTCATGTGTAGGGACCCGTTAATTTCGTAAAAAAGAGGGAGGCCTTTATGCCGTCCTGGCAACAGGCTTCTTCTCACCACCCATGTCGTGCTCGGTGTAGTAGAAGTTTTCCTCGGGAATACGTCCCCTCAAGAACTCAGGCTCAGAGCCGCGGACATAGATGTCCTCGAACAGGACCTTGCCAGTAGGCTCTGGGGGAGCCATGTTCTCGGCTTCGGCGACCTCAGCATCGACGTCGGAACGGGCCTGCTTGTCGATGGACTTGAGCTCTTCCTCGGAGGTGACGCCCCAGTCGAGGAGCTTCTGCTTGAGGCCAGCAATGGGGTCGTTTGTGCTGCGCATGCGCTGGATCTCCTCACGGGTCTGTTGCATGCTGTTAGTGTTTGAGGCATACATCACACAACAGATAAACTTACTCGGTATGTGGTTCCGGGATCGGACATGGAGTGACCTCCGTAACGGTAGGTGACGTATTCGTAAACGAGGGGACCCTTGCCAGCGGCGGCGTACTCCTTTCCGTACTTGACGGCGGCCTTGACGGCAAGGACGTCCATGCCGTTGATCTTCAGACCGGGAATGTACTGACCACGCTTGTAGTAATCGGTGAGGGCAGATGAGCGGTTGGCAGCAGTACCCATACCATACTTGTTGTCTATTCCCAGTTAGCAGAGTCATATGAATTCGCAGGACAGTTTACGCACTCTCGCAACCGAAGATGACGGGCAAGTTCCAGAGCTTAGCCATGTTGAAAGCCTCAAAGACTTGACCCTGGTTGGAAGCACCGTCTCCGTAGAGGGCCAGGGTAACGTTCTTCTTGTTGGTGTACTGGCATGCGAAGGCGATACCAGCGCCGACGGGGACCTGAGCACCAACGATACCGTTTCCACCGTAGAAGCCGGGGGCGAACATGTGCATAGATCCACCCTTTCCGTAGGCAATACCCTCTCTCCTGCCGAGCAATTCGCCGATGATGGACTTGACGGTTGCGCCGCGCATCAGAGCGAAGCCGTGGCAGCGGTAGGCGGTGATGAGATGGTCGGCGCGTTCAATAGCGTGTTCGATACCGACGGCGACGGCCTCTTGACCTGTTGACAGATGGCAAAAACCCCGAATCTTCTTCTCCTTGTACAGCCTGTCGGCGGCCATTTCCATGCGTCTATTTCCCGCGTTAGAAAACCATTACATGTGGAAGTTTTAGAATTCCGAGACTCCATACCGGACAGCGACCATGTCGTAGTACATCTGCTTCAGCTCCTTCTTGGTGACGTCCATGGTGTATGGCGGCGGGTCGAGTTCATAGGTCTCGAATGCCTCGTCCGAGAGGCGGATCTCAAAGGGCTTGTCGTCCTCCTGCGAGCAGTTAGTAACCCATTGCGTACTTATAACCCGTGAATTGGCTGCCGGGGCGAATTGCTTACTGAGGGCACATTGGCCGGGTCGGTATGCGATGAAGCGGCGTCGGTGGTGACAGACCTGAAGGCGGGGCGCGCAACAGGGATGATGGCATTGCGCCTCAAGGGCGAGGCAATGCTCCGCCTAATTGTCCTGGACAGCATTGTGAAGGGCGAGCAGGATGGACGAGGGGTGAAGTCGGGGTTGACTGCGGTGGTGGTGTTGATTCGAAAAGTTGCTCAGCTCCGCCAGCTCGGGGATCCGCTTTCGCGCTAAGCGATTAGGCTCCGCTCAACGCCAATTCTGACCATATCCCGATCTTCTCCGACCCAACGTCTCAGAGCATGCAGCCTTGTCAACATTGTCTTGATGACCCTTTTTGGGATTCTTGTTCTCTATGCACTCATCTCCTTGCTCTCTATAAATTATTGATTCATAAGCGACTGATGGAATCCGCTTCATCATAAGTTACGGATATGCGGGGACATCAGCATTATCGCCCCCATCAGTACGAAAAGCAACGGTCCGAGTGCGCCATCCGAACGGAAAGGCATCCTGCATAACCCTCTTATGGAAGACAAGGCGATAGTGAACTTGCATAATCAGCAAAGGTCTCTCAAATAGGGCACGGGATATACTCTTGAACATTGATCGAAGCATTCCTTTGTCAGTTAACGCTCTAAGACCTTCTCATACCCAACCATATTCCTGGCACATTTACTAAATTGCCTGTTAAAACACGATGTCTCAACTATAGACGTTTATGTATATCCCTTTCCTAGTCGAGCTGCATGAGTTGCTGGGGCTAGTTCGCATCTCGCCAACCGCGCGCTAATCTATGCGCTTACATGACAACGGAGAAGACTCAGAACAGGCGTGTGAAACTTTATCGCATCCTACGACCGAGTAATTCACGGAATGGATACTCGCGCGCTTAAGGAGTTGTGCGTCGCTTAGAGTAGACGAAAATAATCAGAATCAGTTTCAAATAATGCAGTGTCATTCCTCATAAAGTGGCTACAATTTCTCGTCTTTCTACCACAGATTTGTACTGCTTCGAAATCGTCCCAAGCTATCTTGGATAGAAAACCTTCCATTACAACACATTTGAATTTGACTCACAACCGATCCTGGAGAATGGGATTCACTACACGTCAGAAAACGCGACAGAGTCCTACCACTCCGCAGCCTTTACCTTTCACTTATGAGTCGCTCAACTACTCCGGAGGTTTCATCAGACTGCTGAAGTTTCTACCACAGCTATCAAATACAGGACTTATACAGTGTGAAATATGGCATGCTCATGTCTCATCAAGATATACCTGTCTTTCCTACGTTTGGGGACCGCCCGGCAATGAGCAGGATGTTCTGATCAATGGGAAGATTGCAAAAGTGAGAAAGAACCTGAAAGATTTCATGGAAGTTGCACGGAAAAAGTACGCAGCTTCATCACGCGCATTCTGGATAGACGCCGTCTGCATCGACCAGGGTAACGACCTTGAGAGGACCCATCAAGTCGCTCAAATGTCAAAAATATATCCACGCGCTGAAGAGGTTGTTGGATGGCTGGGCTACAGTGATCGGATAGAACGAACTTTCGTCTTTTGGCGCGAGTTGAACGCCTTAAAACCCAAGACATATCATGACACCCAAAGAATATGGATCAATCATCTAAGCAAGCGAAACAAAGAACTGAGGAAGGATTGGAATGAACTTGCGGAGCAGACTTACTGGACAAGAGCCTGGATCACGCAAGAAATACTTCTAGCGAGAAAGCTCAAACTTCTCGTCAACGATTCAGAAATTGAGCCAACATCGACTCCAGGAATTGCACAATTACTACCCGATCGCTCATCTTCGATGAGAAGTTTGGATATGGTATCTACTCAAGTCTTTCACGCTTACCTTGGACATCTAAGCGGCTCAGACGAGATGATGGGTCTCAATCTCATCTCACTTATCCGCTCTCTGTCAACAAGAGAGGCCTCTCAACCCCGCGATCTCATAATCTCTCTCCTCTCAGTCGTACAGAATGCAGACTCCATAGCCGCCGCCTGCAACAAGTCCAACGTAGAAATGTTCCTCGACCTTCTCGACATGTTTCCGGACTCCCTCTGTCCATGCGCAACATCCTACCTAGCCAATGCCTTGGACCTCAAACTCACCCCTAAAACATTCGCCAATTCACCCAGAGACCCATCCTTCTTCGCTCTGCCAATAAAGCCCGCAAACGTCTTACCCACATTCCACTTCAACCCAGCTGATACAATCGCATCCTGTACCCATTGCCAATCCGACGTCCCGGATCTAGGACTCGACTGGCTACCCCTATGCATGTCCACTTTCAGCGGCTGCACACATGGATCCCACATCTACCTTAGCAAACGCCACATCGCCAACAGCGGCACAAAGCACGTGATAAAAGGCGGACCCAGGCATCCAGAACTCGAAGTCTGCTCTGTCGAAGAAGATGATGCCACAATGGGATACACTCTCTACCTCTCCGCCACTACCCTCATGACTCTCTTCTCGCATTCAGCGGAAACCTCATCTTTCCACAAACACAACGAGAAGAAATGGATTTGCAGCGGGCCGGCCCATTCCCGCACCTCTCGTAACATCCAGCGCGTTGCTAGACCAGTAGCATCTTGTTCTCTACTATCATGTGGAAAACAGCATGCGTCAGAGGTAGGCGGTGGACTTCCGGAGCCGACGGCTCAAAGATATGGCGTAAGACCCCCGGTACAAAAGAGCAATTGGGCTGCGGCGTCTACGATTGATCGGTTTTATGGGGAACCGGCGCCTTGGGTGCCGGGGCACGTGCGTGGGGTGTAACTAGGCAAAGTGAGTTGGAAGTTTGGAATTGAGGAAGAGATACCAGGAATGATTGACAAGGGAAGAAACGCAATGTCACGTTCGAAATATTTAATTATTATGAATTTGAGCATGAAGAATTTTACTTTTCTATATTTACAACGGTACTTTGAACTATAAACTATGATGCAGGAGGATCAATATGCTGTGTCTGGCTTGCGAAGAATTCCTTCTGAGCTAAACACCTCTCACTAGTGCACTTTGGACACCGGAGAGTCATCTGAGGGCTGCAAGCCTGACCGCTTTGCAAATGTGCTTTGGCAATGTCTGCTAGTGCTTCGATGAAGACACGGTTGTCGTTCAAGCTGTCTACACGCTTGACACCTTCGTGACCTTCAGCATCTTCGCCAATGACCTCCTTGTCAAGTTCGTACAACGTCTCGATGTGGTCACTGGTGAATGCAATTGGGACCAACAACATGTCTGTTTGGCCCTTCTTCATGTACTCCTTAACAGTGTCTGAAGTCTGCGCTCCAAGCCATGGCTGAGGACCGACTTGCGACTGCCATACAAGACGGTACTTGTACTTCATACCCAGGCGCTGCATGACGGCGTAAACGGTGGCCGCAACTTCGGAAGGATATGGGTCGCCACGGTTCACGACAGTCATGGGTAGACTGTGTGCTGAGAAGAGAATGACAACGCCGTCTCTCCGGTCAGCAGGGTATTCGGCGAGCTTTTTCTCGATGAGTTGGGCGAATGCCTCGACGAGGCCTGGGTGAGCAGGCCAGCGATCAATTACACTCCACTTGATCGCGCCCTCGGGTTCGAATTCCTGTCCAGTCTCTCCAGCTGCACGCTTGCCCTCTAGCCTTGTCCTCCACTTCCAGAGCTCGTTCAGCGAAGAACCAGTAGTAGAGCATGAGTATTGTGGGTATTGTGTGAAAGCGACAGCGCGACCACCCTTGCCACCTCCAAACCCATCTGCCAGCAGCTGCTTGTAGGTGTCTTCAGTAAGAGGGTTAGCGTAACGGAACGCAACGTATGGCTTATGCGGTGCTGTCTCGGGTGAAGTCTTATCGAGAATCTTGCACATCTCTGCGGCTTGGTATTCCGACCACTTTCTAATCGGCGATCCTCCACCAATCTCGGCATATTGTTTTTGAATCTTAGGCGTTCTTCTCCTTGCAATGTAAGGCCCGATGTAGTTTTGAAGGGGTCCAAGAGGGATCAAGTCTTTGTCGGCCTGTCTAAGTCAGTCTAATTCCAATTGACACGTAAGTGGAAGCCATACAAACAACATGCTTAAGAAGTCGTGAACCTCATCGGTAGTGGATGGTCCGCCCATGTTCATGAATACCATGGCAGTCGGACCCTTTGCTCCTGGCGTAACCTGCGTCGGGGCGACTGTGGCATTTCCTCTTCTCCATTGCGCACCGTATGACAAAAGGATGGATGTGGCGGGTGTGATGGAAGTTGCACGCTTTGCAGCGCGAGAACAAGATATCCGCAGAGCCATTGTGGTGCTTACGAGGGGGAAGAAGGTGTCTTTTCGAAGTGATATCCTAGTGCTAGACTGCCATAAGGCCAGAACACTAAAGTGAATAATGGCCGAGCAGGAAAAGCTTCGACCAATAATCGCAGCCTCGTTGGTAGTGATGACGATCGAGGCTAGGGATCGGCTGCTCGGAGATGCCCCACTATGGCTGCATGTCACGTGCCGTCGCGTTGGAGCTAAGGCGCGTGCCTACGGTTGCCTGGGGTTGTCCCGCCGTGTTAACTGCCATGCGACAATTGTAGGAGTTTGTTTTTATACCTTCAGTCCGCCGCGTTGCAGAAGCAGTTATACATTAGCAAACCACGGAAGTTCTTAGCTACGGTATCAGAGCATTTTCCACCTCTGTTTGACGACAGCTTCCATCATGGCGGACCCTCAAGACAACCGAGCAGGTGACGAGGAAGAAGACGAAGATGAAGAGGAAGTTGACGATACTGTGCGATCAATTGATTCCCAGTATCTGTGGAACGTACTGACATAGCCTAGAGTTACAAGACTATCAAAGATGCTGTTCTCTTCGCCATCCATGTCAGTCCCAGTATGCTTGAGAAACCGCCCAAGTCAGAAGACAAGAAAGCCGAACGCGACTCACCAACCTCTGCCGCACTGAAATGTGCCTACCAATTAATGCAGCAGCGCATCATCTCAAATCCAAACGATATGATGGGCATCCTGTTGTTTGGTACAGAGGAAACGGATCTGAAAGATGGCGACAATACATTTCAACACTGCTATCTCTTGGCCGACCTAGATGTTCCATCAGCACAAGACGTTAAAAGATTGAGAGACATGGTCGAGGACGAGGAAGAAGCCGAAAAGATTCTCAAGCCGGCAAAGGATGGAGCCAGCATAGCAACGGTGCTCTTTTGCGCAAATCAAATCTTTACCACCAAAGCCCCAAACTTCTCGTCAAGACGTTTGTTCCTAGTCACCGACAACGACTATCCGGTCAAAGCTAAAGCAGATAAGGATGCTGCAGTCACACGAGCCCGCGATCTATACGACTTAGGCTGCACCATCGATCTATTCCCCATTTCACAACCAGACCACAACTTCGATAGATCGCGCTTTTACGATGATCTTGTTTATCCGACATCGCCTTCAGATCCAGATGCGCCAGTTGCTATACCTTCTACTACGAAAGTTGCGAAGAGCGGCGAAGGCATTTCTCTTCTGAAGCAGCTCATCTCTTCAATCAACTCGAAAGCCACACCTCGCCGTGCTCTATTTTCATTACCGCTGGAGTTAGGCCCCGACTTGAGGATTGGTGTGAAGGGATACATCCTGATCAAACGCCAGGAGCATGTCAAGTCATGCTATGTCTGGGTTGGTGGAGAGAAACCGCAGATAGTCACGTCTTCAACTGCACATATGGCTGATGACACTGCGCAGATAGTTGAGAAGGCTGAGCTACGGAAAGCGTACAAGTTTGGTGGTGACGCGATAACGTTCACACCCGAAGAAATCACGAAAATACGGCAATGTTTCGGTCAACCTGTCATACGTATAATTGGCTTCAAGCCTCTTTCCAGCGTGCCCATCTGGGCGAATACGAACAAGTCAACGTTCATTTACCCATCAGAGGCAGACTATATCGGCTCAACACGTGTCTTCTCTGCATTGCAGCGGAAGCTCCTGAAATCCAAGAAGATGGGTTTAGTATGGTTTATTCCACGACGTAACGCTGCGCCTACCCTAGCAGCGCTCATTCCAGGCGAAGAGAAAACCAACGAAGAAGGCGAGCAAGTCATGCCACCTGGGCTCTGGCTCATACCTCTTCCCTTTGCCGACGACATTCGCCAGTTCCCTACTCCTCCGGAAGAACCCCTCAAGACTACCGATGTCCTGACGGACAAGATGCGCCTCATCATCGAGCAACTCCAACTACCAAAGGGCATATACGATCCTTCCAGATATCCCAATCCTGATTTACAATGGTTCTACCGCATTCTTCAAGCACTCGCGCTGGAAGAGGAGCTGCCAGACCATCCAGAGGATAAGACTATACCGCGTTTCAAGCAAATCGACAAGCGCTGCGGGGAATACATTGAAGACTACGGCAAGGAGTTCCAAGAAGTGTACGCTCAGCAACAAAAGTCTGCTCTTGCACACCGTACCAAGCCCACTGCTAAGAAGCGTACCGGCGGAGCCGATACCGATGTCGAAGAAAAGAAGCCGGTGGCTAAGCGTGTAAAGAAGGAGTTTAAGGGTGCAGATGGTGGTGACGAAGATGGTGGCATGACAGACCAACAGATGGCGGATATGAATAATAGTGGGCAGATTAGCAAACAAACTGTTGCCGTGCTGAAGCAGTGGCTGGGTGCCAGGGGCCAGAGCACCGCAGGGAAGAAGGCAGATTTGTTGGAAAGAGTGCAGGAGTATCTTGATGGGAAGGGATTGTAAGCGTTCAATGGGATCTTTTTATGATAATGCAAGGCGTTAGGGCAAAACTGGAGTGTACGTTCCACTCCTGGAATTAGCCCTTTTGATTCAGAACTTATTCCCGCCCTTGATGGGAATAGATATACTGTGTAGTTGCTTACATAACGATACTCGGCAACCCGGTGATGTTCATTGTCACGTGGAGCATGTGACTCTTACATGACTCCTCCTATGTACGTTCTGGCTTGTAAATTCATCTCGATAACGACATACCCAGTTGTCTCCCACCTGCTTCAGTTCTCGAAACCCCTCTACTATCTTCTTTTCTTTATACTCAGTCCTAAACCAGTACCAATGGATCGCTCAGCGTTCTCTGCCCATGACTCAGTTGCGTACATCTGGCAGCAGCTTGGTCTACCGGAAAATGCTTTAAAGTCGCTCAAACTACCGGTCGATGCTGAATGCCTTCCTTCTTCTTTCAAAGTGGATATCCTCGCACAGTCAGCCATCGCTGTATCTGCACTCGCAGCAGCTCTCTACCGGTCCGTGCGACATGCAAACGAGATACCACGCGTGACCGTCCCGGCTGAGCATGCATGTGTTGAGTTCAAGTCTGAAAGACTCTATACACTCGATGGAAAGATTGCATCTCCGCCATGGGGCACGATTGGTGGATTGCACAAAGCTTCCGACGGGTACGTAAGAATACATGACTCATTTCCAAACACACGGCGGAACGCATTGCAGATCCTAGAACTAGGTCTTGATTCTTCCAAAGAAGATGTTAGAAAAAAGGTCATGGAATGGGAGGCTGTCCAATTAGAAGATGAAGCTTTTCGGAGAGGAGCTGTCATCGCTGCACTACGATCTTTTGAAGAATGGGATGCACTACCACAAGCCAAAGCTATCGCGGACTTTCCGATTTTAATCAATAAGGTCTCTAAAATCACTCCTTACATGCCACCGGTCCCGTCCGCAGTTGAAGACAACAAATGTCTACGAGGCATTCGTGTGGTCGAGATGAGTCGAGTCATAGCCGCTCCTGTTGCAGGCAAAACACTAGCTGCACACGGGGCGGACGTGATCTGGATCACATCGCCATCTTTGCCTGCTCTTCCAGATCTTGACCTTGATCTATCGCGCGGAAAACGTACAGTACAGCTCGATATCGAGAAAAGCGAAGACAAAGCAAAGCTCTTGGATCTGCTTTCCACAGCCGATGTCTTTATCCAGAGTTATCGTCCCGGGAGTCTAGCCTCAAAGGGACTCTCTGCAGTGGAGCTTCACAAAGCAAATCCCAACCTGATTGCAGCAAGCTTAGATGCTTACGGTCCCAATGGTCCCTGGAGCCAGAATCGCGGATTTGATTCGCTCGTCCAAACTTGCTCTGGTATCAACGTTGCAGAAGCACAAAGGTATGGTGACAATGAGCCCGCACGTGTGCTACCGTGTCAAGCTTTGGACCACGGCGCGGGATATTTTCTAGCGACTGGGATCATGGCGGCACTATACAGGCGTGCCACTGCAGGAGATGTACACGAGGTGAAGGTATCATTAGCTGGTGTCATGAAGTATCTACGGTCTTTAGGGCGCTATGAAGGCAAAAGCGAGTTTGATCGCAAAGACTTTAAGAACCCACAAGACTTCGGAAGATACCTGGAGTCTAGAGAGACAGCCTTTGGTACACTGAGAGCTGTCAGACATTCTGGGAAGATTGAGAATGTCGAAGTTGGTTGGGAGACTATGCCTAAGCCTCTAGGTAGTGACACTTCTGTCTGGCTCGACCAAACTCATACGAACTGAGCGTATTATTGAGACTCGTTTGACCGCTTGTTCTCGAGCTTTCCAAATGAAAATCACCGCATAAAAGATAATCTGTATTTCGATATTTGAACACAGACCAGCTGTTCGTGTCCAGAGACCACAAATGCACTTACCATGAGGCTATTGACGTCATGCCCATCGCGTACCTGCATTAGTTCTTGCACGTCTCAACGCTTCCCACCGCGTCATCGCTCATGATATTTGACACTCAATTCTCTATCTAGGTTCTCTACACTTAATCCTACAGCAACGTCAAATCTGAAACAGCACAATGGCCGAAGTAGCAGCAGGCGCGTGGGTAGCAGCAGAAGTCGTCGAGCACACAGCAGAAGCAGGCTATGCGGCATACCTGGTCTCCAAACCAACACTGCCCCTTAAAGTGACATTCACGCGGATAGCTACGGCAACAGGCGACCCATCAGCGTATGTAATCTAGCAGCTCATTTCATACAGCCAAACTGACCTGCAGACGCTCGTTGGCTCGCTCCAACCACACAGTTACAGTGATTGACAACAAAGCCTACATTTTCGGTGGCGACACCGCGAGTAATGCTCTTGCTAGTAACGATGTCCATGTCGTTACTCTCGAGCGGTCTGGGAAGCCGGAAATGGATTACAGTATGATTCCCGCGTTGCCAACGTCTGAGAACCAGCAGACGCCACCGGCAAGATCGAACCACGCAGCTTGTGCTTTCCATGGAAACATTGCAATATATGGCGGCAGTGATTCAAGCGGAACTCTTATCGATGAAAAGTCTTCTATCTGGCTTTTCAGCCCAGAAAGAAAGACCTGGGATCTTCTCGAACCGTCCAAGGGGGATGTCGATACTGGCACTATTGGCCCAGGACCACGTCGAAACGCACAATTATTCGCAAACGATCAGCACGTAGTACTTTTTGGTGGAATCGATGGCTCAGGCGATCACGCATCAGATCTCTGGCAGTTCGACGTTGCAGCCCGTTACTGGACACAGCTTCCTACTGCACCGGTCGCAACATCAAACGCATCGCTGGCAAGCGGACAGCTTTGGTTGATATCCGGTAACGACCCGATGAGCAGCCAGCTCCATCACATCAGTATCAATTCTCCAAGCGAAGAAAAGAAGTGGGAGTCTTTTACCTTCCCAACCAATCCTCTCGCCCCTGGACCCCGAGCAAGACACGATGGCGCTCTACTTCCCGTCACGACTGGCTGGGGCCGCAATTACCTCGTTTACCTCTTTGGAGTCCGGGGCGGATCTGATACGGAAACGCATGCTGTAGCCCCAGAAGATTCTAAAGATGCGGGTCAAATAACGCAGTTTAGCGATACATGGGCACTCCAGATTCCATCGAGCGACTTGGAGCCAAAGGCGTCCATGACACTAAAAAATGCGATCAACCCTGCAAAACTCAAGGATGCTATCAGATCCGCTGTTGGTGCTGAGACTGGCCATCTCTCATGGGCAGAAGCAGTGGTTCAACTTCCGTCGGACAAGCAACTAGACGAGGATGGAAAGCTTCATCCCGGTCCACGAGCTTTCTTCGGCGCAGACGTAATGAAGGGGGGTAACGGTGTCGTATTCTGGGGTGGCGTAGACGCAAAAGGGGAGAGGGTAGGCGATGGCTGGATCTTGAAGTTTGACTGAGGAAATCCCACATGTCAAACCCATCATGTACATTATCAATGAACAAGGAAGAAATATCTAGCGTTTCTTTTTCTGAATCACAGATCCAAATGTAGGTAACTTTAATCTCTCCGATAAATCCCCGCTATCCAACACGCCCTCAATAGCGCAAGACCCCACGCCATGCCCAAGCTATCCCACACAACGTTCAACTTGCTCCCCATAACTTCCTTCCACCCAATCGCCACCTCAATCATAGCAATATCCGCACTCTCCGCAAGCATAAGCATTTCGACATCGAAAATCCACCCTTCAGAATGCATATACGGAATGATATACGGCAGCGCGGGCCTCGAGAAAAGCTTAAACCCACACTGCGTATCGCGAATGCGGGCCGTGGCGGGGGGCGTCATGATGCGTAGCAAGAGATGAAAGGCGTGCATGAGGAAATTGCGGAGCTTGGAGCGCTTGACGACGGCCTCGCTGCCGACGAGGTGAGCGCGCGACCCGATTGCTACGCCGCGGCCGTGCTTGTCTTCGATTTTTTGGCAGCCTTGGACGAGAGCGCCCAGGTCGGAGAAGCGGCTTGCGCCGTCGGCGTCGGCGAAGACGATGTAGCGGCCACGGACGTGGCGCATGCCGTGGGTTACGGCGCCGCCTTTGCCTCTGTTTTGCTCGAGCGAGATGACGCGGATGCTGCCGTGGGGGATGTGGGTGGAGTGCTGAGTCGTTGCGTTTGCGCTGTCAGAGGACCAGGGACCGGGTTTGGGTTTTGGGTGCTGGCTGAGTTGGTGTTCTTTTGTGAAGTTGAGGGCTACGTCTACGGTTTTATCTTTGCTTCCATCGCTGACGATTAGTATCTCCCAGCCTTTTTGTGCCTTGCTGCCTTTTTCGCCAGCGTGTGCATCGCCGTATTTGCTCTCGAGGAATTGGACGGCTTCTTCAAGCATGCCTTCTAGTCGGTCTTCTTCGTTGTATGCCGGTACCACGACACTCATGAATAGTTCGGCCTCTTCAATCGGCATTTGCGGTGGGATAACAATCTTGCTGCCTGGCTCCTTTGCTGCTTTTCTTTTCGCTGCTTCCTTCTCTGCGGCCCATTTGTCCAGCCAACACGGCAATTCCTTGGGATCGCTTCGCGCACCGTCGGGCAGTATCGTGATGTATTGTTTCTCGGACCGGCGTGGTGGACGTGGAGTTGGCGCAAGTAGATTCAGTGCTACATAGGCCTATTGACCATAGCACATTAAGTCAGTAACCTATACTTCACGTTCTATAGCATTGCGTGTGTATGTATCTTACCCAGAAACCAAGTGCACCTATCAAGAAGCCCAGCCCGACAAAAAGCACCCACGTCGGTGGCATTTCAACAGCCTGCCTAGGATGTGATTCGAAGCCATACCCAGGACCAAAGGCATCCGTATCAAAAGCGCGGTTCTCTTTCGACATGGTTGTGTTTGGAAAGCGGGGAGAGAGATTGGGGAATTTGGGGGAAATGCGCGCCCTCACAAGGGCTGTACAAGGGTCGCGCGCGTTACCGAAAAGCCGAGGACATTGAGTGACGAACGCTTAAAAAAAGAAAAAGCGAAAATGGCCTTCAAACGTACGGCATGTGGGCGGACCAGTGTTGTTTTAAGGGTTCAAGTAATGCGAGTAGGGAAGGGAAGATGCCAATTGCGGGTTGCGCGCCAGCCAATTGGCACGAGAAGATGCAACGTGGAAGCTGACGTAGATAATAGGCCCGTGAGTTTGGTTAGCGGGCCGAGGACCGCTCCTTAGGTAAGCTTTAGTCTGGAGTTTCGTCTTTACGCTGGCGCATTTCCAGCATCTCGGATCTAAACATGGGATTTTAATATTAGCATCGACACGCTTTAAATTAGCTCCAGGAATAATGACCCGTGCAGAGGATTGAGATTACAGCAACGACAATGTCAGTCATCTGTTGAATTGATGGCATGAAATAGTCTCTATCCTAGCCTTAGATGTGTACAGTAAGTACATCTAGCACTGAAATCTTAGTCCCTAGGATGTGCGGGATGCCTCCGAAATGCTCAAAAAGGTATACATGTATCCAGACCTACAAAGAAAACAGAGATTGCTCCGCCACAGCATCTTTCTTAGTATATATTGAAGCCGCAATATTTGTAGCATGTGAAAAAACAAAAAGAAATAATGGGACATATGGGTCCAGGTACATTCTAAGTGCCAAAGAGGAAAGTGGTCAGCAAGAAGGAATACCGCAGTGACAAAGAAAAGGATTAGATCTCCGGCTCTTCAGCCCTCGCATCTCGCCTCTTATCTTCGTCGATATATACTACAAGATAGTCAGTATCAACTCAGTAAATCGCAAAGCGTTCAAGGCAGTAACTTACCATGCGGACGAATGAACCAACTACACAAGAAGGCAAGACCAAAGGTAGCCGCAAGCGACACAAACACTGTCTGCCTATATGTCCCAACAGTAGCACTGTATATGCCGTTGAAAATAGTAGGCCCCATAACACGCGCAACAGCATGAAGCAAGCCCGTAGCACCAAGCAACTGACCAACTTGATCCTGCGGCACATGTTTCGTCAACGCCGCACCCAGCGTAGGCGATCCGATACCACCGATGGAGGCCAGAGCGCCAGAGAGTGCAAACAGCTCGCCCCTGCGTACAAGCGCGAAGCCGAGATATCCCATCATATCAAAGAGGATGGCAGCGCGGATGATGGACAGATCAAAGAGATCAGAGCCAGAGCTACGGGTCTTAGCAGCACCGTTTTTGCCGCGGAAAATGCGGGTGACGACGGGTAGGATGACAAGGAGAGAGAAGACACGACAGCTGTTGACGATGGTTGTGAAGCGCCCGGATTCGAATTCGTGCCAGTCGAATTGGCGGCGCGTGTAGACTAGCACGACGCTCATGGCACCCATGGCGACGCCGAACATGATGGTATCTGTGGCAGCGAGCAGAACCAGGTTCCAGCGCACGGCAGATGAAGTGCCAGGACCGGTGGGCCAGAGAATCTTGAGAGGGCCGAAGAGGTCGACGGAACGCAACTGGTTGATCCAGTCGGCTGTTGGTTCGTTTCTTTCAATCTCCTCCTGATATTTCTCGCGAGCAGCCTCCTGTCGTGCTTTGCTCAGCGACTCTGGGACGAAAAAGGTAAGGAAAGCAATAAAGAACAGATGTGCGCCCAAGGCCATGTAGAAGATGAGAAGCACAGCTTCAGTCTTGCCCACAGCCTTCTCCCGAGCATTGATAATGTACCCGGCAAGAACAGGTCCGATGGCAATGCCACCAAATAGACATGCGTGAAAGTATGAGAAAGCTACGTTTCGCTTCTGGGGCGCAACCACGTCGGATGCATACGAATGCGCGCAAGCCATGCCGACAATGAAAGATCCAGATATGCCTTCGAAACAATATCCAACCAGGATCCAGTTGACATGTACGGTTTCTGGGAACTTTGCAGCGAGGATGGTGATGATTTCGCCCAAGAGGGTGCCGCACGTGTTGGCAATCATAAACTTCTTACGTCCATATCGGTCGGAAAGGGCACCGATCTTCGGGCTGATGATGGCTGATAGCAGACCAGAGCATAAGCTGGCATATAGAAGGAAGAGTGAGGAGCGGGATGAAATAACGTCGCTCTGGCAGCGGTCTTGACCTGGGTCCATGGGTGACGATATTGGATCGGTCTGCAGCGTCGCATAGTAGTCCTCACAAACCAGGTCCATGATGAGGTTGATCTTGGGCACGATGATACCGCCAAATGCTGTGGTAAAGAGCAGAAACGGGGGCAGGAGCCAGTAAATCTGTGCCTGTCAGCCGTCGTCGTTGTGATGCGCGAGTCTCGATGCGCCTACCGATGGTCGCTTCCACCAGGGAAGGCCTCGAAAGTCTGCATGTCCAGCCCATTGCTCTTCGCTATCATTGTGCTCGTCGCCATGAGCGCTTCCATAGTCGTCTGCAGAGGTGCGTAGGAGAGGCGCGTCTTCGTTGTCGGTATCGGGGCCGGGCGAAGTTACCCCTGGCTTATGCGACTGGCTCGAACCCTTGACGCGGGCTTCGAGTTCACGCTCGACATCGACATCCTCGACAAATGCAGAATCCGTAGTCGCAGCCATGCCGAGCAGACTGTCGTGTTCAAACTGTTCTGGTCTAGACGTCGACTCCGCTTGTGGTGGGGATCCGGGGTATTGTTGCGGGGCGGTATTTGGGTTACGACGGCGTGCGCATTGCTGGAGCTCAACTGCTTCTTCTGTTAGCTCCCTGCTGTCCATGGAGCGATAGGCGGCGTTGCAAAAGACATGACGCGGTCGAGTAGCGCAAAAAGCAACTGGGCGCAGTGGTCTTCGCCCTTGGCCCTTCGGGCTTCGGTACGATGCGTAGTTCAGCTTACCAAGAATAGAACGCCTCACGTACAGCCCAGAACGGGTCGCGTTACAGGGAACAAAGAAGAAGGGGAAAGCACAGCAGATGGGGATGTCGATATCTTGTCCATGACATTATGTCCACTAGCGCTCGCTTGGAGGATGGCGTACAAGGGCGTGACTGTAGAGGATTCGCTGCAAATACTCGTCATGACGTTGCCATGTTTCGTGCGTCTCCAGTTCCACCCCCACTTGCATGCTTGCGGGTCAAGCCCGCGGCCTACTTCTGATAACCATCGGCATCGGAGTTTGATATTGTTCCGTCTCTATTTGGTTGATGGGGGGTTCGAGGCGCAAAGGGAGTATACTGTGAGCTTGTGCATCGTCTTATCTTGATAGAGAAGGTTAGGTTGGGGGGTATGACAGGGGGTGGAGGGCGGTCGGCCGAGAACAAATACCGATAACATCAAAGTGCAAGTGTAACAGGAACATCATCGTCTCGGTACCATTCACTTGGGAGTTAAACTATCTTGCCATCTCCCTACAACCCACTGCAGATCATCCAGCCGCGCTGGCTTGACTAGATACTGATCCACGCCCGATGCATAAGCAGCGTTCCGGTCCTTGTCGCTTGACAGTCCCGTAAGCGCGCATATGTAAACCCGAGACTGACTCTCCCACTTGGCCTCAATCTCACGTATTTGCCTTGCAACATCAAATCCCGAGACCTCAGGCATTGACAAGTCGAGGAAGATGAGGTCAAAACGCTGTGCAGTCTTGTCCTCGTCAAAGAATGCGGCCTTGAACGCGTCAATCGCTTTCTGCCCCCCATCAACAGACTTTGCTGCCGTCTTGCTACACTTTCGTGCGTACATTCCCAGTACTTTAAGATTTACCGGGTTGTCGTCCACCAGTAGCAGCTTTGGCTCTCTCAGATTGGATTTCGGGGGCAGGGGAGCGGTTGGCACTACCAATTCCTTTGTCCGCGCATTCCCATCCACATGGTTGATGGGTAACTTCGCAGCTCCATCAGCCGTTAGTCTATCCAATTGCCCTGCGGAGCCTGTTTTCGATGCTGCCTCCAACGATACTTCATCTATAGTATCATTCCCCTGATAAGGTGCTTCTCTTATCGTATACATCCCCTGGGGCGCTCCGTCTCCAGGCGTTATATTGTTCTCCTCTTCTCTCTGTCTTCCCCTAACCAGCGTCGTTTCAATTGAATCCCCCATCGAGCCGCGCAAGGGCTCAACGTCATCGTGGGGGTCTGAAACCGTAATCAAGTCCGGAAACAAACGTGCCAACGCATCCTGGAGGTTGGATAGCGTGACCGGGCCAATGAGAGTAGTGATACCCTCCAAAGGTGATATGCCCAGGGTGGGGGAGGCCTGAAGGTCCGGACAAAGCACAATGCATCGGGCGTCATGGAATTCATCTCCATACGTTCGTTTTGCGTCGGCCAAGTCTTCTTCTAAGACAATCAGCAGCCGCAAGTCCGTGCTGGAGGACTCCCATGGTGACACTGTGACCTGGAACCATCGACTCAGACTTCGGGTAAGCGATGCCAAGAGCATTTCTGTACACCGGGAGCTCCTCATTTCCCCTTCTGATGTCCATCTGCTTGGCACGAACACGCTCATCTGGAGCTCAGGTAGGCTGCTGCCTCCAAGTCCCAGCACGTGACTTGGATCAAAGACCACCCGCTGTGAAGGGAACTTCACCGTAAAAGTAGAGCCACGTGTTTCCTTGGAGTCAACGTCAAGTTGACCGCCCAGCGCAGTGACTGTGCGCTTGACTATGGAAAGCCCGAGTCCCGTTCCTTCAACCAGAGGATCTTCCTGCGAAAACGCATCGAAGATGGAATGGCGAAGAAAGTCTGGGTTAATCCCTTTACCCGCATCGGTAAAGCAAAGCGTGCATGACGTTTCGTCGACGTCCAGAGACACGCGGACGCATCCTACAGGAGTGTTGAATTTTATGGCATTGTTCTTTACGCCTGTCAGCTTACATACAGTAGGAATGCGTGATGCGTTTTTCTTACTAGCAAGTGTGTGAAGACTGCCCGGAAGCTAGCAACCGCTGTAAGGACGCAGGATGGTGCGACATTCGTATCGAACAATAGAACGGGGTGATGATTCGTTCCATCTGAGCGTACGGATGACGAGGGTGATGACGCTCGGCTATAGAAGCGTTGACTGGGGCCAGAAAACTGAGACTGCATGGCATCTTTGAGACGCAGCCTTCGCGTCTCCTGTTGAAATGCTTCTTCGCACACATTGACCATCTTCGATATGTGCTTCTTGGTGGGGATAGCCGCCGTCTGGGTGTATACGGGGCTAGATTGTTGCGGACTCCACATGCTCGACCCATTCGAGCGGGTCTCATCTAGAACCCGCGCTGTGGAGCTGATCTTGCTGAAATGTAATACATGCTCAATTGTGTTAAGCAGTGAAATGCCACTGTACCGAGCTGTTTCGAGGAGATCGCGTTGATCAGCGTTATAAGGCGTGTCTGAGAGGAGTTCCAATGCCGAAAGGATTCCATGCAGAGGCGTCCGCATTTCGTGGGACATGGAGCCAAGAAAATCAGACTTGATTTTATCCATGGCTTGCACTTCGAGACGGCGGACCTGTGTCATGAGCGTCGTGCAGAGCGCAGAGATGGACCAAAGATCCGTTGATCCTAGGTAGACTCTGGACTGGTCGTTAGAAAAGCCTAAAACAGTCCCGATGTTACGCTCGCGATGTGTGTCCCATAAGGGCATCATGATTATCTGCTTGGCCTTTGGGAATATTTGTGGTAGTTCAGTGGAGATGAGCTGGTCAATCACAAGCACTACTTTGCCCGCGTTTGTAGCGGCAACAATGCTGTTTGGACCTTCCAGCATCTGAATAACACAGCCTTGCGGAAACATGTCCAGCAGTCTCTCAAGCAAGGCTTGTGATGGATCTACAGGCGGCTGCTTCATGGGCCCAAGATGCTGTGCTAAGATCTTGGATCCGTTCCAATCTGGGTTGTGGTTGGTATAACTTCCAAATTGATCTACTTCATGAATCCTGACGCCGTCGAATTCAAAAGTGTCATTGAGCAGGGTTGCTGCCAGCTGGTAGAGGCGCAGGGTAGCTTCAGTATACAGATTGGATACCATGGCCTCACTCTGCTCAGCCTGAATACCTGGAGCGGGTTCATTCAGGGCGTCAGCAGTAATATTTGACGACAAATCAGCGTCCAGCAAGGAAGCAACAGTTTTGTTGAATCTCAGCATTCTCTTGCCCTCCAAAGCTTCGACTGCTTGTTCAAGATGTTTGATAATGTGCGAGGCTATTTCAAACAGGTACCCACGATTTGCGTCAGAGAGACCTGTCTCTGACGGGGTCTCGCAAAAGATAAAGACAGTGCCAATGTTTGGGCCGCCGTACGGGTTCAAAGGGACGCCTGCATAGTATCGAAACTTGGCAATGTCACCTGTTACAAAGGGCAGATCTTTGGTCCTGTCTACTTTAGTCATGTCGAGCTCCTCATACAAGGCCATGTTTCCAGGGAGGTTCTGCATTGTGATGGTGCGCTCGCACAAGCCCCCATGATGGGAAACTGATTCGCAGCCGTACCATCTGGTCGAGTCTGTTCTGGCGTGATTAGCCTAGGTAGTCTGAAGAGCGCGTCTAGAGACTGTGTGGTTCGGCATGCTCACCAAGCGTGACCTTGATGTCGTTGAAGTTGGCCCGGCTGGCGCCTGATACAAAGTACTGGGTGTGATCATCCAACAAGCTGATCATGGCCAAGTCGGCGCCCGTTCGGTGTACCAGACATCGTAGCAGGGCAGCAAGCGCGCCATCCGGCTCATTCTCCGGGCACTCATCTGGTTTCGACGGCTTGCTTGTAAGGCTAGTGTCTGCACCGCGTACGTATTTGGCGACGGATGGCAAGACTTGGCAAAAGCGTCTTACTTCCCAGACTCTGGCGCGATCGGCAATGAAAGCTTGCTGTTGCTCGCTGAGCTTGGAAAATGGCATGCGGGGCGAGTTGGCGAGGACTCTCTAAGTGCAGACGTCCCGGTGCAGCAATCGTTCTGCGGACAGGCGTCTCAGTCATTTACGGTGCCCAGAACGCGAAGTTCTCGCATCAGTCGTGCTCCGCGTTCCGGACGGCCCGTTATATATAGCATGTCGATTGCAGATCACAGCGTAGCCCCCCAGTCGGCCCTTCTTCTTGTCACGTTGTTAGCCTCGGCTGGCCTATGTTGCTGCTTATGTCATCCACTCCGTGGATTCCAATTTCAATGGATATCTCTGTTTGGATTGCTTGAGGCTTTTGCAATGTGTTTCGATTTGTGCGCGTGCGGCTCACGATCTAAGGCTGTGAAAATCACGTGTGTGGTACTGCTAGTGCGATTCACTGTCTGGGCAGCGCTGCGGGGTGCCGAGTCGTCGATCATCCCTAACTGCTCTCGCTCTGCATGTTTGATAAGGTGATTCAAGTCCTGTCGATTGACGCGTCAGACATGATATCACGAGCTCAACTAATTCATCTTTAGAAGGCTGAAAATTTTCGCCCTCTCCACGGTCATTTTAGTGTCAACGCGGTCCATCCCGTATCTGCAGCTCCGCTTTGCGCCATTGTTGAGGAGTGTCATCGGCTTCTCGTGCGCTATCCGATATAACCTATAGACTTCAGCCTACCCTAGTGCTACTGTCCTTTAGCACTTTGTAGGCAATGTCTGAGATGTGAGGAGAATGAGCAATTTCTACCCTGACGCAGGCCCAACTCATGGCCTGTATGAGCACAGGCTCCTTTATAAGCATGAGCGCATTTCCCTCTCCCTTTTACCCTTCTGAATAAGCGCCTTTGGCCTACCGCGCGCGTCAATAAGAATCAATCATCAGGTCCATCAGCCGTGAAGGCGATTCATTCGCCACCTTGGCGTTTAGTCATGAGTGGCATAGCCACTTGATTCGTCGTCAGCAGTGTATAGGCATCTTGAAACAACATCCTATCGCTATGGTTCCCCGTTCTCAACGAACACGTATTTAAAGGCTGTGTCGTGGCTGGTTCCCAGGGGGATGCGTTGGCTATCTGAAATGTCGTAAAGGAGGCCGGCAACGGAGCTAGACCTGCGTACAGCTCTAGGGGTTGTCTTAGATGTTGTGAGGCGTTTTTTTCGCATGTTGACCGCTCCTTCGTCTAGGTTCACCGTACGTATTCGACCGGGATGCACTGGATCAGTGAGCTAGACAGAGGATGTAGAGAGGAGACTGAGGTAAATCATGTTGCATGCCGTGAACAGAGCATCTCCGAGGGCAGATACGGCAGTCTGGTAGCAGCGCGATTGAACACGCTCTGGGAATGGACGCAAACTTTTAATCGGGTCCCTGCGAGTGTGTTTTGCATATCCCTAAAGCATATGGAATGTGGCAAAGAAGGAGGGATCACTTCTACAGCATCAGCAGCGTCCTTCCGTGGGCACGAGGGAGAATTATTCACCATACTTACGAAGATTTGTTGAACCATGGTCGCTGAGTCTATTCTCCAAGAAGACTACTATGGCGTGCGTGTTGTCCTGGGATCAATGAGCTGAACGACACAAACCTGTGTCTGTGCTTGGAGATCCGGTGAGTGATCCTAGTACTCCTGTTCGCTGCCCACCACATTTCAAGAAAGCGTACGCGAGGATCCATTGCCGATATACCTATCCGATACTTGCACTAACCCCAATATGCTGAATTTGAAGGCAACTCTTGTTTCGGCAATTGGTAAATTCATGCCATGTCCTTTAAGACCAGGTTCTTTGGCGAAAATGATTGGACTGAGCCCCCTATTATTGCTTCGTGTATAGTCCTCAGCTCGGCGGACCTGCACCATTAGCATCACCATCGTTTTCGCGTATTCTCAGCCTCTTGAGCATGTGGCTCGAAGCTTGTTCCGTTCCAGAGGCAAATTGCAAATCTATTCCTCCACTCGGAGTCGCCGTATGACATACATATCTGCAGCTGACCACCGAGACATTCGCCATGTCAACAGCTGCATTTGAGGATGACATTTTGTCTACCTGATCGTGATGACTGAGGCAGATGGGTTGCAAAAATGCGAGCTAAGGATTGCTCGAAGTAGCGTGATGTCTTGCATTCAAGTTCTTCAGCCTCACCAATTATGTAGACTGATGCATTCAGCTCGTGGCGTTTTGGCCCGACCTAATGCCTAATGTTCAACAAGAGTACCGGTTTAGGATTAGCATAGAATATACGATTGCTGCCTGAATCTGGCCCTCCCGTAATCATACCGATGCCAAGAAAATAGTTGATGGCTCGGGATTTTTTTTTTTGAGAAATTGCGTCATTGTCAGGAGGACCGCTTGAATAGCTTCCCGAATTTGCCAAGTATCTGTTCACCGTTGTCAGATGTGATAGAGCAAAAAGTAATTACAGGGAGAAAAGCAAATGACTGGCGCACCCTCAGATGCGAGATTGCGATTGCCACATGCGGCGCGTCGTATCTACGTAGACTACCGTCCATATCTCCTTCACCTTTCTCGAAGACTCGTTCTATTGTACTCTTGTTCACTCGAACATGATTGTGCAGCATCGTGATTCTGGAGGACTACACATGCTTCTCTAAATCCTTTTTGATGGTAGTGTAAGGCAAATAAACAATCTAGAAAACGTTTTTTACGGCCCTTACCGCTTCATGTGGGCGGAGGGTGGGGGGATACCCTGCGTTATTGGTGGTATGATCTGATACCCTAAACTGATCGGTATATATAGAGACCATGTGGTGAGCTCACAGGCGTAGATATAAGCCTATGTGCTTTTTGCTGCAGCATAGAGTGGCTTATCCAAGGCGCATGTTGCTTTACCAGTCTTATGCTCGCTGAGTCTGGTCTTGAGCGTGGGTTGTTGGTGTTGACATACCATTTGCCTTGATCCAAACGTAGGATATTCACTCTGCAAGCTGGAGGCCTCCCATAAGAGGACCCACATTAAGAGTTCACGAACGCTGACTGCATGGTTCGGCACTAGTAGAGAGAACTGTGGTTCGGTGTAGTTCACCCCACTCTTTCAGCCCCCAAGTCTGGTAGTTTAGCCTTAGTTTTAGTAAGTATAAGTAGCTCCTGACACAAACTTTTAGCCCCCAAAATATTGGTACTGCGCTTCCCCTGTCCATCCTGTGGGCAGCCTTTCGGCATTTCTGTGAATCCGTTTTCCCAACAAGCGGTATCATCAATTTTGTTTTTTATTGGAATGCTGACCGACTGTCCAGGGATAACAAAAGGATCAATGCTGCAGTATGCACATATTTCAGCCTCGTTATAGATTTTGATATCAATATCAATGTTGCAAAGTTCATCGTTCAGCCTTGCAGGCCAACAGTATGATTTCGCTGAAACTGGATGCATATTCTGAGCTACAGTCGTTTCCTCAAGATAAGCCTTCTCGGCGTGGCCCTGCTGCTTCGCTAGCCACCCCTCCTTGTTTTGTGATGACGCTGTGATCTATGCATGATGATTCTTTTGTTAATTGGATATAGTGTAGACGAATAGTAATCGAATCATGATGTACGGGGTCTGGAAGCACTCCAGCTTCCGCGGCGGCTTTGACTGGCCGGGGAACATGACATGCCACCCGCCCCCGCTTTTCTAGACGCCAACACTCAAGCAAGATCAAACAACAGCCGGATCAGCAGTTGGCTCTCATGCAATTATTTCGTAAGAGGACCACATTGCTGTAAGCATCTTGGTGTTCTTGGGCTACATTGGCTCAAACATTTGCCTACACGTGAAACCCTGTGTTGCCTGGAGGCCGCTCAGTGTGCCATACTAGCAGCATTTGGTTCCATCTGGAACCAGGAACAGTGTCTCACCACTCACTCCGTCATATACCGGGACTGAGTACCAATAATGGTAAGCAACCAAATATCCGAAGGAGCAGGCAGCAGTTTTGAGTCGAAGTATTCGGTACATATCTTAACAGTTGACCGGTCATGCAAATTTGTCGTACGCCGGATGATGATCTGGACAAACTCGAGACTCCAATAGCAAGAAAGCAGTATGACGATGGTATTATGATCAGGTGAACATGATAGTTTTTGATCCCGAGGAGTGGTATCAATAGCAGGCGCATGATTCGATGTTGGCTTTGTCAATCTCATAATTGAGCGTCGTACAAATTGTCAGGTGGTGTCTGAGAAGAGGGAGTCCTTTCGCTGAATCCATCAGAGAAACTGATGCGTTTGCTGCCATGTTGTGACCCCATGGCTTGACCGGCATTTTTTCGACTTTGAATCGTTCGTCTCCCGATGGAGGACTGAAATCATCACCAAGGGTCTGGATGGTGGCAGTTTTAATCCTCGACTTTGCACATATGTTTGCCTGGCTCAAGATCGGTCGTATTTCCAGGGGACAAAGTCTCTCCACACGTACGACATTCTAAGCGCGAGAAACGCCACGCGGGAGGTACTGCATTTGCAATATTCGTGGTCGGATGCCTGCAGATGTGACTTGTAGCAATACCGGATGCATGGTATGTTTCGTTTTCATGAATCCAAAGCAAGCTCTTTTCGTGTTGCATAAAGACACGTGTATGATTCCAGTCGAACAGACACAAAGGCTGGCATATGTTTATTGCCATGGTACTACAATTGCTACGTGGAAAACTGCATGTGGGTTATCTGGATGGTTCGTTGAGGAGTAGGAAACGTGCATCTTCGGATTGCTCTTTGTGTCTCGTTACGCGCAGATGAAATGTGCCCGTTCGGCCAGTACAGAGGAAAAGGCGAAGTAGCTCTGATGCTAATCGGACGGCATCAGGCCTTGGTGCAGGGCTCGTCGCAGAGTCTTTGAGTCGACCTGGTGCCTAGCACTATTGCGACATGGCAGACAGGTGGGGTAGAGCAAGGCGGCAGAGCCTCACAAGGCATCCATTTCAAAGCACGAGTATATTTAGAGGGAATGCCTCCCAAAACCTTTGCCTAACATCGCGGCGGCTGACCAGGAGTAAATTCTGTGGTAGCGCCGTAGGCGGCGGTTCTGGTGCAGGGGCTAAATGAAGGATGCATGCCTGCCGCACTACCTTATCCGGCGCAGTTGCCTACTTTTTGCCTTTTGCTGCCTGATTGCCTGGTCGGCGCACAAGAGCCGCTAATGAGATATACTTCCATGTCGACACCTGCTCCAAGGAGAGACCGCATCATGATTCTCTCACAGTTTTTTCTTACGTTCTACAACTTGTTGGCTTTACAGCGCGCAAGATCGCTGTCTCTGTCTGGAACGTGATTCTCGGCTCCTCCGGCTTCTCTGCGTCTTTCCTACTGTCTCCTTTGACCCCCTAATGCCGCGCACTTGTTTATTTACAATAGTGCCCGAAATCAAGGCTGAAACCTGATTTCGAGAAGCGATACCTTATAATCAGCTCCAGTGTGCAGAATCGCGTGGGGGCATGTGAGCCAATCGCTAGACGCACGCCAACTTCGAACAAAACACCAATCCGCAAATTCCACGTCAGACAGCTAGCCACAAAATGAGCGCTGCTGACGGCTTTTACCACACCATGTACGTCAAGACGCTGAGGAATCAGCAAGGGCGTGAACATCTATGTCCGTACCCGGATCACAAGGGCCGAGTGTTCCTGAGCTGGGACCAGCTGTACGATCACGGCAAGGCGGAGCATTCTCCGGACTTTGACGGATTAGACCCGCAGCAGGCGCGGGCAAAATTTCACATGTTAGCAGCCGAGTTGAAGTAAGCACAGAGACAGTTCAGCCCCGACATACCATGTCAATTTCTGACATATAAAAGGACGGAACATTCATCCATTGCAACCGCAGGCGACCACTCCGCGCCGGACATTGCAACCCTCACCTTGGGCTCCGGAAAAGGCTCTGTTCCTAATTCATCTCCGTCTGGACGCAAAAGGCCAGCAGAGCATGAAGCCTTTGGTCATAGAGGGAAAGCCCTCTCAGGCCTCGATGTCAGTGACTCGGATTATTCAAGAAAAATTTCCTATCGTATTACTTCGGATAAAGTAAGATCAGAGTCACCTGACCCGCGATTCTTTAATCCTAAACAAAATGCCAAAGACACCTCGTCGCCTCATCGTTCTACGCCTGAGCCATCCAGCGAGTGGTCAGGCGAAGCAACTAAGAGTACTAAGCTCCAGTCTCCTCAACCCAGATCCCCAGTTCGTATACAACCACGGAGCACGCCAAAACCCCAAAATGCTCCCAGTCAACCCAATCTTACTAGCCATCCACAGTATGACGAGCGGTATCCCGACCTTCTGTTACAGCCGGACTCTCGTCCGATATCACAAGAGCAACTAGCATCTGAGGTCAAATCTATCTATGCTGGCCTTGCGATGGTTGAAAATAAGTGTATACACGTTGATCGTGCCCAAGCAGCCGCTGTACAGGATCCTAATACAAAGCTACCTNCTGATCACTGGCAGGCATTGATAGCTTTACACCGCACCCTCTTACATGAGCATCATGATTTTTTTCTAGCNAGTCAACATCCTTCCGCTTCTCCGGCGCTTCGTCGCCTAGCAGCTAAGTATTCTATGCCCGCGCGTATGTGGAAGCATGGCATCCATTCCTTTTTGGAGTTACTTCGGCGGCGTCTTCCCGACAGCATGGATTATATGCTGGCTTTCATATATTTGGCCTATCAGATGATGGCGTTACTTTACGAGACGGTTCCTGCATTTGAAGATACTTGGATCGAATGTTTGGGTGATTTGGGCAGATACCGTATGGCTATCGAGGATGAAGACGTCCGTGATCGTGACACTTGGGCTGGCGTAGCACGATCCTGGTACACGAAAGCAGCGGACAAAAACCCAATCGTTGGACGTTTATATCACCACTTAGCGATTCTGGCGAGACCCAATGCTCTCCAGCAAATCTACTACTATTCCCGGTCTTTGACTTGCGTCAAGCCCTTTGGAAGTGCGCGCGAGTCCATCCGGACTCTTCTGGATCCCGTCGTTGATCACAACACCGCTAGTCTCCCGCACGCTCTTCCCATCGATGTCAGCTTCATCAAACCCCATGCTTTACAGTTTCTGGGACGTTCGGTCAAGGATGATAGGACATCGGAAGAATTCTTAAAGGCCAAGACTGAGTTTCTGGGCAGCTTGGATAACTATATTGTTCGAGTGACAACAAAATGGAAGGATCAAGGTGTATGGGTCGCCGTTACGAACATCGCGGGTTGGTTTGACTATGGAGTTGACGATAACGCTCTCCGCCAAGCTTTCCTCATCGAGCTTTCGGAGAGAGCCAAAAACTCTCTTTCTACTGCTCCAGAAGAGAAATCGCGTACAGCATCTACAATTGAGCAGCAGGACCCAATTCAGCCTTGCGTCAACCCAAGCCAGATCCAGGGGAAGCTAGAACAGCTCGCTGCGCAACAGACATTCAAGAATGCCCAGCTCCTCACCAACGACACCTTTGCCCTCGCCCTCCGCAGACTTGGCGACAAGAACGTGCTGCTGCACGTCAACATCATGCTCTCCTATCTCACTTCTCTTTCATCATTTTCTTCCTGTGCATACGTTCCTAACCTCATCAAAGACACACCCTGGCCCGATCTCGTCACTTTCCTCAATACGTTATTGAAAACAGAATCTCAATCTTACTCCCAGACGAACACCAGCCAGTCAGAAAACATCGACAGCTTGCTTTCTGCAGCCCTGTTTCCAGCAGACGATGAGAGGACGGACGAGCTGCCACTCCCTGAAGATTACCTTGCCAGAGGCTTGATCTGGACGCACGGATATTTCCCCAAGAATTGGTTTTCCAGGGAGCGTGATGAGGAGGAGAGATATCTCGAGCCGGCGAGCACGGTTAAAAATCGTATCAACAGGGTGCTCAGGCTGGGTTATGCGCTTGCGAAAGTAAGTTGGTACGTGGAGTTGTGGGTGTTGTGTCTAACCTCATGTGCAGCTTAACCGATGGATTGCCTACCATGCCTCTACTCATTCATTCTCGGTCATTGGTCCTGCGCCTTGATTTTCAACACTCGTTTTGGTCTTTTTTTTCACCTTTTTCGTTGTTTTTGCTTCACAGCACATGATTTTCGCCTCTTTACCGTTTTACAACATGCCCTTTCTCGTTCTCTACGGCAATCAAATTATCGCTGTATTTGAGACTCAGAGTCGGCGCTACAGCAACAGTAAATGGTATTTTGGAGGCTTGCACATATACGAAAATGGGAATTTTGGGCAGAAGAAGATACCAAATTGTGAGAAAACCTTCTGGGCCTTCCTGGTCGAGGAACCAGTTGTCGTGTCGCGGATGGCGGGGTAAGGAGAAAAAGAACATTTGTCGTGGGTTAGATTAGGAGGTCTTTTGTTTTTCAGTTGTTTCTTTGAATTCTTGTTCTACAAAGCGTGGGAGGCAGTTTCTTGACAAGATTGAAACACCCTAGCGCCATCATTTTTAGACGTTCAGCAACATATTGGTATCACTGTTTTAAACGTACACAGAAATTTCAACACAAGGTAACAGTTTTCGGCTTCGTTACGAACACGAACAAGCGAACTGAATCACAATATAACGAGTTATCGCATACTGTTCTTCAACTTGTAGGCTTGTACAGCCAGATGTAGCACATTTTGTGAAAGAACAATATTCTCATGAACGTATGTGAAGTCTGGCCAAATCGTTACTTCTCTTATCCACATCGTGTGCGTTTACTACCTTCAAATCAAATTCATCTCAAAGATTTAAATTCCCAGAATGTGCTATTTCACTGTGACATTTATGGCGTCCAACTGGTCCCATGTTCCGCCCAGGCTGGCGTGACATCATCCTCAATCCTGCCAGCGAGACACCGAGATCCCGAAGAGTGGGTGGCCGAGTCAACGAGGAAGATGAGATTATACTTAAACTTGACCTTTGAACATGACCCATAACAATAGCCCAAACTCACAGTTACCATGAGTCACATTCTAAATCTTTTCGCTTTTGGTGCATTTGGTGTAACCTCTCTTGTAAGTTACTAAACCCCAACAATCATCTAGATAGAGAAGACTCTTACTTGCCCTTCCCAGATCTTGCTCAAGATAGTCTATAACATTTTCCTACATCCCCTTCGACACTACCCAGGACCAACATGGTGGGCTACCACTCGCCTCGCCTGGTCCCATGCCTTGCAATCGGGGACCTATCACTTCAAGCTCGCCCAGCTCCACAAGCAGTACGGCCCAGTGGTGCGAGTCGCTCCTGATGAGCTGTCTTATATCGATCCCGAAGCCTGGAAGGACATCTACGGTAACCGCAACATCCCAAAGAACCGTGTGTGGGCTGGCCAAGAAGAAGAACATTGTCCCATCAGCATTGTTAGTACCGATGAAGCAACGCATTTGCGAAATCGCAGAGCACTTGCTGGAGCATTCACTGAGCATGCCATCATCGAACATGCACCTTTGCTGGAAGGCCTTGTTGAGACCATGATGCAGAAGCTCGGCGAAGCAACTAAGAAGGGTAACAGGTCCGCTATTGTTGTAAACTTCACAGATTGGTTCAACTGGCTTACTTTCGACATCTCCGGCGTCCTCTCCTTCGGCGAATCATTCGGTAGCGTAGCAGCCGGCCGAGCACACCCCTGGGTCGAAATCAGTTGCAGTTTCGGCAAAGGCATTGCACTCATGGCTTCCATCAATTTCTTTCGCCCGCTGAATCAGCTGCTCAAACTCGCGATGCCAAGGGGGGTCATGGAAAAGATGAAATATCATAAGGAGCTGGCGCATGCGAAGTTCATGCAGCGTCTCGCGATGGAGCATAAGGAAAAGGCGCAAGACTATGTGGGCTCGGTTTTGGCGTACAATCAAGAGAAGGGTGAGACGAAGATTCCAGACCAAGAGATTGAAACAAACATGACGGTGCTTATTTTTGCGGGGAGCGAGACTACGAGTACTTCGCTGACGGCGATACTGACTCAGCTTCTGCAAAGCCCAGCTGCCCTAACGAAGGTCGTAACAGAAATCCGCGAGAATTTCACGAGCGAAGAAGATATCAGTATTGCCAATGTGGCAAAGCTGGACTATCTCGATGCCGTGATCCAAGAAGGCATCCGCATGGGCCCTCCCGTAGCCGTGGGTCTCCCTCGCATCACCCGGAAAGAAGGCGAAATCATCTGTGGCCAGTACGTACCAGGAAACGTAAGTTATCTTAAAAAAAGCCATGTGACATACAACAGTTAACACAGTATAGACTTTCGTCTCCGTAAACCAATATCCAACCTTTCGTTCACCATTGAACTTCACCGAACCCGATCAGTTCGTGCCAGAACGATTTTTACCAAGCTCACCGTATCCTTCCGATCGCATGGATGCTTTTGTGCCGTTTCTACTTGGACGCCACAAGTGCATTGGGCAAAAGCTTGCTTGGGCAATCATGCGGTTGACGTTGGCATGGCTGTTTTTCAAGTTTGATCTAGAGGTAGCTGGGCAGGTTGATGATTTTGGGTTGCAGAATAATTTTATGTTTTGGGAGAAGAGGGCACTTGAGGTGGAAATCCGAACTAGACAAACACTGGAGTAGTTTGGTTCACAGAAGTGGCCAGTTGAAGTGTTTGGGTTCGGCGTTGTGATGGAGGGTTTTTTTCAATGAAGAGTGAAGGTTCTTTGGCAACATGTTCAAAATTGAGCATAGAAGTACCGCGTTCTATATTGTGAAGTATACGACATTGTACTCCAAAGGGTTAGGAGATAGCTTAAAATCGAGGAGGTAACAGCGGGAAAGTATTCGTAGAAGTAGAAATGATTGAAGAGGGAAGGCCATCTCCGCTAAGTAGAAATCCTAATTTGTACCCACAGCCTGATCACGTACTACTATATCGCAACATAAACATCCCAACTTTCACGTCAAAAAGAATAGGTTTCACAATATCGATCTCGAGTTGCGGTGTAATAATTGGTACCCGATGTCTAATTTCCGGGAACGAGTTCCATCGATCACCACCCTAACAGCAGTAAGGCTGGGCCAAAACATTAACATCTCTTCAAATCATAATCCCTAACATTTTGTCTCTGTACTTACATTGCATGTTTCTCCATCCGGGAGTGGGCAACCAACTAGACACAAGCAGGAAGTTGAAGTATCCAGAGGAAGGTTGCAACAGCTAGGAAAAGTAAGTCTATTGACTAGATCGCCTTCTTCGTATCTGGTCACAGATCCATCTCCGTGTTAAATCAGGAGTGCGGTAGACGTAGCGTAGAGTACGGAAAGGATAGTAAGGAGCTTCATGATGGGGTGGTTTGGGTAAGTGTTTTTCAAAGGGAAGAAAAGTGGTTAAGTGTGATTCAGGAAAAAGTTAAGGGCACTCGTCAATCTTTATCTTCTTATAAAGCATTAACCAGTAGAAGAAATATTTCCAGGTGATAAGGAAAGAATTACGCGTCATGCCATCTGTAGCATGAGCACAGTACATGTATGGACTCGGCGGACCGCAAATAGGCGGCAAGATACCGTGGCTATGAATTTGACCAGTAGATTGGACCGTGGACGGGTAAACACTTCCCAAGATCCGCTAATTCCCACCGCTAATTGTTCGATTAAAGTTTAGAGTAAATAAATATAATCCTTACCAGCGCTTTGAACATGTAAGATCATTGCAGGGCTTACTCTTAGCTATATTAGACTAACATAGTTTACTTGACCCTATAATTTCCAAAGACTAAATAGTTTTCGAACAATCTTCTATCGCAAACCTCTTAAGAAGGGTGAAAAATTTCCTTGCACTTTAAGAGTTTGATTCCGCCGCGAAAATACTAGTTGTGATCTTTAAAGTCTTAAGAATTGTTATAGGCTAGGCCTTTCAGGATACT